TGAAGGAGGAGGTGAGCTCAGGCACTGGCCTGTCTGGGACTGAGGGGAAGGTGGCAGTGCGGCCTCAGGCTGCTGCACGCAGGCCTCAGTGATGCACACACAGGAGGGGAGCCAGCACAGATTGGGAAGAACTTGTTTGGGGGCAGTGACATCGATATGCCTAGAGGACAGCTTGGTCGGAGCTGGCCCCATGACTCTGGGAAGTTCCCACCTGCTCCCCCAGGGAGGGCTAGTACCATTAGTCCCAGGCACCTTCTGAGAAGAGTAAGGCTCAGGGAGGTGAAGAGACTTGCTCAAAGTCCAGGAGTCAGGCTGAAACCTGGATTGTGTGACACGAGTCCACCTTTCTCTCCAATGATGAGACTATAGAATAGCTGCAGGTAGGAGCGGGCAAGAAGCGCCCCTCTGCCCCCAACTGCCAGACTTTTCAAAGACTGTGTCCAAGCCCTCTGGCTCTCGCTCACTTACTGCTGGCTCCTGTTTGCCGACTGCTCTCCTGAACTTCTCTGTAGGAAGCTGCTCTTGCTGCCAAGTTCACAGAAGTCCAGGCCATCAACAGGCAGAGGCTGCAGAATCTGGAGTTTGCACTAAATCTCCTGAGACAGGTAATCGATCTTAGTAAGAAACCCTACTTAAAACTATTCTACCAGCTGAAAAATGAAAACTTCCTCCTGCCTCAGACAGCCTAGGAATGAGGGAATGTCTCTTGCTAACAATTCTGGGCAGTACCCTGGCTGAATGTCAGTTCCACTGACATTGAATTCAATAAATGTTTGCTAAGGACCCACTAAAAAGTTATTTTTAGAAGACCATAATACTTATGACAGCACTGTTTGTCGTAGCAAGAAACTGGAATCAACTCCAAGTCGTCAGCAGTGGGCTGGTTAAATCCCATTCACACGGCAGAGGGCTTGGCTGCTGCAAGGAAGGGAGTTGCATGCTCTGGGTCAGAGTGGGATCCTTCTGATTGTGCCATAAACAGCAGAGTACAGAACGGGAGATGAGGCGGACATTTGTGCAGAAAAAGTAAACGTGTTTAGTGGGGCACACCAAAATGCACAGGCTGAAGGAAGCACAGAAAACGCCTTCGAGGACTGACATCCCCTGAGGACAGACGACAGAAGGTTTCACTTCAGACTCCTCTGCCGTTGTAAAATATTTTGCCTCATTTCGTTTTATAAAGCCAATCTAGTTGTTTTTGGCCACTTTAAAAACTAGCCCAAGAACTCTAAGGGAATCCTGGGGATCACAGGACAGTCTGACCTGTTCCAAGGTGAGCAGATCTGTTCTGGCTTTAATCACATATTGTCTTGTCTGTCACAGCAGCCAGACACAGAAGTGACCCGTGAGACCCTGCAAGGAAACACTCCGGGCTCCAGTGCGGAGGAGACATGGAAGATCAAGAAGGAACTGGACGAGGAGGCTGAGCGAAGGCAGCAGCTGGAGAATGAGGTCAAGAGCACCCAGGAGGAAATCCGGACCCTGCGGAATCAGGGGCCTCAGGAGTCGCTGGTGAGGAAGGAGGTGCTGAAGAAAGTGCCAGACCCCGCGCTGGAGGAGAGCTTCCAGCAGATGCAGCGGACCCTGGCGGAGGAGCAGCACAAGAACCAGCTGCTGCAGGAGGAGCTGGAGGCGCTGCAGCTACGGTTGCGCGCCCTGGAGCAGGAGACCAGAGACGGGGGGCAGGAGTATGTGGTCAAAGAGGTCCTGCGCATCGAGCCCGACAGAGCCCAGGCAGACGAGGTCCTGCAGCTGCGGGAGGAGCTGGAGACACTGAGGCGGCAGAAGGGTGCCCGGGAAGCAGAGGTGCTTCTCCTACAGCAGCGAGTGGCAGCCCTGGCCTCTGAAAAAAGCCGGGTACAGGAGAAGGTCACAGAGAAGGAGGTGGTGAAGCTGCAGAATGACCCCCAGCTGGAGGCGGAGTACCAGCAGCTGCAGGAGGAGCACCAGCGGGAGGGCAAGCTCAGGGAGAAGCAGGAGGAGGAGCTGAGCTTCCTACAGGCCAAGCTCAGGAGGCTGGAGAAGGAGCGGGCCATGGCTGAGGGCAAGGTAACTGTCAAGGAGGTGCTCAAGGTGGAGAAGGATGCAGCTGCAGAGAGGGAGGTCAATGACCTCACCCGCCAGTATGAGGATGAGGCCACCAAGGCCCGAGCCAGCCAGCGGGAGAAAACGGAGCTGCTTCGAAAGATATGGGCGTTGGAGGAGGAGAATGCCAAAGTGGTGGTGCAGGAGAAAGTCCGCGAGATCGTGCGGCCAGACCCCAAGGCAGAGAGCGAAGTGGCCAACCTCCGCCTGGAGCTGGTGGAGCAGGAGCGGAAGTACAGGGCGTCGGAGGAGCAGCTCAAGAGCTACCAGGGTGAGCTGGAGGCTCTCCGGAGGCGGGGCCCGCAGGTGGAAGTCAAAGAGGTGACTAAAGAAGTCATTAAGTACACCACTGACCCAGAGACGGAGAAGGAGCTGCAGCGACTCAGGGAGGAGATCGTGGACAAGACCAGGCTGATTGAGAGGTGTGACCTAGAAATCTACCAGCTGAAGCAGGAGATCCAGTCCCTGAAGGACACAAAACCGCAGGTCCAGACCAGAGAGGTGGTCCAGGAGATCCTCCAGTTCGAGGAAGACCCCCAAACCAGAAAGGAGGTGGAATCTCTGCGGGCAAAGCTGTCAGAAGAGCAGAAGAGGCAGGTGGACCTGGAAGGGGAGCGAGTGTTACAGGAAGAGAAGATCAGGGACAAGGAGGAGGAGCTTGCCCAGGGGAGGGAGAGGGTGGTGCGCCAGGAGGTGGTACAGTACGAGGAGGAGCCAGGCCTGCGGGCGGAGGTGAGCGCCTTCACTGACAGCATCGATGCTGAGCTGCGCCAGATCGACAAGCTGCGCGCTGAGCTGCGGAGGCTGCAGCGGCGGCGTGGGGAGCTGGAGAGGCAGCTGGAAGAGCTGCAGCGTGAGCGGCAGGCGCGCAGGGCAGCCGAGCAGGAGGTGCAGCGCCTGCAGCAGCGGCTGGCTGCGCTGGAGCAGGAGGAGGCCAAGGCTGGTGAGAAGGTGACCCGCACACAGAAGGTGGTGCTGCAGCAGGACCCTCAGCAGGCCAGGGAGCACGCCCTGCTCCAAGCCCAGCTGGAGGAAGAGCGGCACCGGAGACAGCTGCTGGAGGGCGAGCTGGAGCCCCTGCGGAGAAGGTTGGCTGCCCTCGAGAAGGCGGAGGTCAAAGAGAAGGTCGTCTTCTCTGAGAGTGTCCAGGTGGAGAAGGGCAACACGGAACAGGAGATCCAGAAGCTGAAGAGGAGCCTGGAAGAGGAGAGCAGGAGCAAGAGGGAGCTGGACGCCGAGGTGGCTCAGCTGGAAGCCAAGCTGTCAGAGCTGGAATTCCACAACTCTAAGTCGTCCAAGGAGCTGGACTTCCTAAGGGAAGAGAACCACAAACTTCAGCTAGAGCGACAAAACCTGCAGCTGGAGACCCGAAGGCTCCAATCAGAAATTGAAATGGCAGCAGCCGAAACACGAGACCTGCGGAACACAACCATGGTGGACTCTAGGACCAACCTCGACTCCAGACTGTGGTCCTTGGAGAGAGAACTGGATGATCTCAAGAGGCTGTCCAAGGACAAAGATCTCGAGATTGATGAGCTGCAGAGGCGCCTGGGGTCCGTGTCCGTCAAGAGGGAGCAGAGGGAAAATCACCTGCGGCGCTCCATCGTGGTGATTGACCCCGACACAGGCCGTGAGCTGTCCCCTGAGGAGGCCCACAGGGCTGGGCTCATCGACTGGAATATGTTTGTGAAACTCAGAAGCCAGGAGTGCGACTGGGAGGAGATATCGGTAAAGGGTCCCAATGGGGAGTCCTCAGTGATACACGATAGGAAGTCTGGCAAGAAGTTTTCTATTGAGGAAGCTCTGCAGAGCGGCAGGCTGACCCCTGCTCAGTATGATCGCTATGTCAACAAGGATATGTCCATTCAGGAGCTGGCGGTCCTGGTGTCTGGGCAGAAGTAGGCTCAGCCCTTCCGCCCATCTCTTCTTGGGAGGTGGAAAGCTGGCTTGCTCCTCCTCAGCAGCCTCCCAGGTAGCTCATCCCTGGTCCTGTGCAGGCTCCTAATCCGTGCTGAGCCCTCTCAGAATGCTTGGAGTGCAGTTCACGTGAGCAGAACCGGCACTGGCTCAAGCCAGGCAGCTCCTGTCTCAGCCATCATTCAACCTGGGTGAGCAACCTGCTCCGGCCTCCGATGATCTGACACCTACATGCCCTTCTTCTTTTTTTTTTTTTCCTTTCCCCATATACTCCCATCAACAGACTCCTCTTATGATGGCTGGAAACAGTCTGAAAACTACTACAGCACAGCGCAACCACAACAGACATGCTCACTCAGGGCAGCGTGGGCCTTGGCACACCAGCCAGCAAAATCTAGGCAGAGGCCTCCTTCCACCCACTCCATTTACTAAAGGACAGGGCTGCCAGGCTGCCCATGGGCACACCCTCCAGCTTTCTAACTGGGAACCAACTTTGTGAGTAAGGCCTCCCCAGTAGTAACTCTGCCCACAAGACAGGCTCTATGCCAGAAAGGCACAAGGAACCACAGAGCCTGTCAGCCATGCTGTACAAGGAGGACATTCTATCAGCGACATGGCTCTGCAATCGGAAGATCTTAAGGGTGGCTGGTGTTGCTGATAGCCTGTTTTGTTGCCTTGCGAGTCTTGTTTATTATCTCACTGGTATATAGGTATAGAAAACTGCTGGTCATTCACCAAATTTCTCATTTTCTGTATCTCATGTGTTATGTAAGAAGATGGCAAATAAGAGGGAACTTTATTTATAGCATGAAAATAAAAACTGGTGGCTTGATTCTAATGTCATAGCGAGCGTGTTTTTCCGCCCTTGCATGTGGAAGCTTCCTTTGCCTACTCCCTCCCTTTCAACCTTCAGACAAAATGGGTATCACGTATATACCAGGTTCTCCGGAAGGAAGAACCACTAGCGAATACAACTGAAAGAAAGAATGAGAAACAGGTTTTTGGAAACCTTGAAACAATTTATTGAGTTGCTTTATACAAGATTAACAATTTCCACACCACCCCCAACACCAACATAGTCGCTGCACAAAAGTAACAGCCCCTCTCACACCTAAGAAACGGCCATGTCCGGTAAGTGCTCAGAGACTTCCGCCCGCCAAGGGAACCCCTGCAGCCCCTTGAGCGTGCTCTGCCCCACGCCTCCACTGCAGCTGGGCTGTAGATCTGCCTTGCCATGGCTGTTTATCATTCACTCTTTCGTTACCACAAACAAAACATAAACAAGAAAAAGAAATCTCAAACTCCCCATCAAAGAAACATTTCCCTGAGGCAAGAGGCATCACTAGATTCCTAAGGACAAGGGTATCCTGCTCCAGCTGCACACTCAGTGGCACACGGGGAGGAGGGAGCACCAAAGGGCGAGGAGGGAGGTGAGGGGTGCTGGGGCTGGGACCTGGGTGTTCATGGGCAGAGGAGCCTGGAGAGTTCCCACTGCTCAGCCTTCGCTGACGGCCTCGGCTCGGCTTTGAGCTCAGCTATACAAATCTCTTCTTTGGCTCTTTTGCTACTACCTAAGACTATTCTGTAAACAAACTGGAAATCCAAGTTGCAAAAAATATATATAATAAAGGGATAAGGAACCCATGTGGCCCAATGTGAAACAGATTGGTTCTTACATACAAAAAGAGTCAGAGCAGAGGCCAGGCTGAGTAGCTGACAGGTCTTGCTCCCAGCACAGCGGGAAGGGCACCAACCTCCACAGAAGTGGGAGTTACTGAGCATCGCACCTGGGAGTCAGGAACCGAAAGACTATCTGGTTTCACCCAGGTGCACATGCTGAGGATGCTCTCTCAACATGTCAAATTGCTCACCTGGGCAGTCAGACTCACCTTGTGGCACAGATTCACAGAATAAGCAAGGGCCCTCGAAGTCCTTGTGAAATGGCCACTGGCTGAGTGTGACCAGCCTGGTGACAGGAGTTCTACAGTTGCTATCCTCACCTGTCTCAGATTCACTCTCCAGTTCCTCTGGGCAGCACCCCAGTCCACACAGAACCCCACTGTCTGGAGAGCTCAACACTTCCAGGTCCACTGTAGGCAGCAGACGCTTCACAGAGGCCTATCCCTGCAACTCTGCCTAAGAAGGATTTCTAAGAATAAGAAACTGGAATGTCACCTGTGACTCGGAATCCCTGTCTCAGCCCTCAGACACAAAGGGCTTTGGGGTTCCTGTGCAGTCTACCTGTACCAACTCTGGAAAAACAAACTGGGAGCCCTGGCTCAACTGGGACCTGGGGTTGGGGTCCCAGATGACTTTCAAGTCAGGACGGCGCAGGTTATGATGTGCAACCATAAAAATCTCAATTAAATAAAACTGGCTATGTCCTAAATACAGACATCTCTTTAAAAAAAGGTCTTCATCTCAGATCCACTCAGGGGGCTGAATGGACGTTGTGTTGTCGAATTCTGCTCCACCATAAAGGCACTGGAATTGAGTCTTCCTATAATGTGACGTGTGAAGAGCAGTCCCATTCTATCCAATGCATTTAATGGTAATGACGAAAACTGAGCCCAAGATAGATGTCTTTAAAAATCCTACCATAATTGAATCTACAAAGGTCTCTTCTCTATAAGAGCTTCATTGTCATGTTCAGAGGAAAAACTGGTCCCCCATAGATAGCACACAGTAAGTGTTCTTAATATTTTGCAAGGAGACAAGATGGGCCTCCCACCTGTGGCTCAGGCCTGGGTCTTGTCCTTTTGAGCACACAGCCTGGGGATGGGATAACACTGACCATCCAGGGATCCTAATGTGGCCAGAAGGAGCCCCAGACCCATCAGGTGCTGTGAGGTACTTGGACTGAGTGCTGGGGGCCAGGCAGACCTAAACAGCTGTGCCAATGGATCTGCAACCAGAGCTTGTGGACTCCCCGCTTCCCAAGAGCCCAGCACACTCCCACACCCAGAGCTGCCCTCTAACAACCTTCCAGCAACAGAGCTGTGAGGCCCAGAGCACCAGGTCAATAAGTGCTTCACCAGCAGCGTGAGCTGCTCCTTAGTTGGAGGCTTGTCAGAAGTGCCAGGACACGCTCCGGGAACTCATGCCTGCTTCGGAAGGAAACCAGTATGCAGAGTGTGCAGGAGACGCCCGCCATCTGAGACCTCCACGTTGAGCTTCCAGTGGACCCAAGTCAATCGAGCCTGTCCTCTGAAGTGGTCACAACTTCCGTGGCACACTAGGCCCCTTCCCGTGAAGCTGAGAAGCATCTGGAGAATAAGAACAGAACAGTCTTTCAGGAGCTGACTCCATACGTAGGCACTGGCATTATGCAGGCCAGTAGTGTACTGAGCAGTGTGCCCAGAACAGCTCCTGAGATGCGACTTGGGCCACTTCACAGCTCAGGTGACAACCGCCACTATGGCAAGGCCTGATGTTCAAACACATCTCAGGGTAGCAGTGCTCACTCTCTTACCACCAGGTATAGGGACAACTGTAAAGACACCAGCGTGGAGACCAGGCAGAGAGGAAGGGAAAGCAAAGCAGACACAGACGCGGCTGTGTTGCTGCCACGCAGAGCCTGATGGCAGCCCCTCAGGTAACGACCACCTGAAGTGCGGCGCAGGAGGAGGGGAAGACTCACTGGCGTTAGCACAGCTGCTCTGCGGAGAGCCTTTTAATACCCAGAAGAAAAACAGCAAAATGCTACAAGAAAGCAATGTCTTTCTTTTCCATCCTTTCTCTCTCATTTCCTTCTACTTTTTGGGTGAAAATACCACAGACCCTCAATCTCTTTCCATTGGCTCTTTATTTCGTTTCTTTTAGAGAGGAACATTCCCCAAAGCAGGCAGAGGTGGGCCATCTCACTGTCACACACCCAAGATCTCACCTAGGTAGCTCCATGGAGGCTTGCACTACACTTATCCCCACTGGCAGCCACCGGTATGTGGGGGAAATCCATGCATCTCACTGCTTCTCCAGAGGAAAAAGGGCTAACTACAGACATAGGCTTAGCCCCCAAGGAAGCCAAATTTTCATCTAGAGACCTACAAACTCATTCTTGCCCCCAGCTGGCCTCTGGCACTCACTACCAATGCTTCAACCTCAGAACCAGCCTTCAGAGACCCACAGCAGACCAGGAGGTAGACACCCACTTGACAGTCAAGGGTCCTACCCTCTTCATTTGGCAGGTCAAGTCATGTATAGCCCAGGGGCCCTCAATCCACAGGGTAGTAACCTAGGCTCAGCTTCGCTAAGACTGGCTCTTCCCTTACTAATGCAGCCCAGGGCCTGTCTGGCACAGGTCTAAAGGCAGTAAGAACACCAGTCAAATCCTAGTGTTCCATCAGGCTTCTCATACTAGAATTCTATGAGGTCTGTCCCCAAAACAGGACTGAATGTGGCACATCTACTTTCTACCAAGTGCCTGCCTAAGGCACCAATGCCTATTTCTCATGCCACTAAGCAGCGACACACCAAAGGCTAGCTTAAAATCGCTATTCTGTGGGGACACTGCCTCATTCCTGGTGTGCTCCCAAATCTGTTTCCAAGAAGGCTTTACATCTGGCCAGACTGAAAGTGGCTTCTCATTCAGGTCCATGCTGCCATCAGAGTCCTTCCTCAGAGTCTTGTACTGTGGCCCCTCACTACTCTGTGGATTCTCCCATTCACAGAAGCAAAGTATGGAAAGCCTCCGTGAACTGACAAATACCAGTGAGCGCACAGCCTCGCTGTGAAGGCCGGTAGTGCCCACTAGCCCTTGGGAGAGTCCTACCATTACTTTCTTTCTTAACCAAAGAGGGAAAAGATGCTAAGAGTCAGGACAGACCCTGTCTCTGGGTCAGGTCCCATAGCTTTCTGTGCTCACCAAGGCTCAGGGTTCCAGTCGAGAACCCAGCAGTCTCACTTTAGAGGCCATGTTATTCCGATGCCCACACAGCCAGACCCTTAAAAGACAAGGCGAGACGACAACACAGCAACGACAAGGCAGACATTCCACGTCCAGCAGTAGACAAAGCACCTAAGGATGGAGAGCAGTAGTGCACAGAGTGCATGGCAGGGGCCCATCTGGCAATTACCTGGCAGACTCTGCGGGACATGGGTGGACACGGCAGCATGTGGGAGAGTTGCTGCATGGGGCGGGCTGGAGTGCAAGCCAGCCAGAAGACCTGAGAGAAACAGGAGGGGAGAGAACAAAACACGAACATTGAAGACAGAAGGGAAAAACAGCCCTGGCAGCCAAGAGCCCCAGACGACTGGCCAGACCAGTCTAGGAACCAAACCCAAAGGGGAGGGGCTCAGCATTGTCCCAGGGACATTCCCCATGGTCACACCAGACACACACAGGAACCACAGCACACCACAACACAGGGACAGAGACAGAAGACAGGTACTTACTGTGGCTGAGACCGTGGTGGAAGGTCCCAGGGGCTGGGCCTGTGACGATGGCATCCTTGGAGACCCCCGCTTTAGCAGAGGACTCCGCACTGAAGGAGAGCACGTGGAGTGGAAATGGGACAGGGGCAAGGATCCCCAGTGAGTTAGAGTTCACGGCCCCAGGCAGCTTGGGGTTGCTGGACTTGTAGGATGAAGACAGCAGGTTTAAGGGAGAGGAGCTGGTCAGCAGCACAGCCCCACCCGGTCCTTTCTGGGGAGGAAACATAGACAAGTGGTCAGAAGCCTGGTCCTGTTAACTCATAGCAAACCTAAGAGCGTGCACAACAGGCACACACATCAAATGCCCCAGAAAAGGCACTTTTCTATTCTGCAGTCCTGGAGAAAAGAACAAGGACAGTCTATGAAATGGCATGGAGTGCGTTCCAGGGCATAGGACACTAAAGGTGTCTCTTTGGTGAGGAGAGGAAAGACCACCACTGTGGATATCCACAAGTATGTGTATGCACCTTCTTAGACACCCATTTATTTTGCATATGTTTACTATGTAAATACACATATATTTGTGTATATTTGGTTAGTCTTTGTTTTTAAAAAGAAATAGGAAGGCTGAGGATGTAGCTTAGTGGCATAGCACTTGCCTACTAACTGTAAGTCCTTAGATTCAGTCCCCATCTCCCCAAGCTGTATCCAAACTTCTTATAGTTATCCCCCACCCTCAGCATTCACTAGTGCTGAATTCTGATAAATCACCTCTGACCTGCAGAATCCTTCAAAACCAATCAGAGAATCGTTCTCAGAAGGTATTGCTATTTCCAGGGCATGAAAGCCTTAGCACCTGACAGATGAAGGCATTTCCATCCCCTTTTCTGAAGAGATACACAGGTCAGAGGTGGAAGGAGGGAAGTTCTGTGGCTCATTGTGCAGGTGCAGACCCAGCCTCCCTACAGGCACAATACTGACAGCTGTTTTTGCTCCACTCACCCTCCTAAGAAGACAGGCAGGTTATCCTGGGCCTTCCTACTCCCAGAAAAGGGAAGACTGAGCAGGAAGCTCAGTTCTCCATCCAGAGTATGAGCTCACTATTCCCACCTGACCTTCAGCTTCAGATCACATTCTCCACTCAGGGCAAAGCAAGTGGCCTTGTCCCTGAGTCCCCAGGGGTGGGACAGGCTGCATGCTGGGATACTCACTGGCAAGGAGGTAGATGATGTCACACTACTAACTGTGGCGGGCTTCAGGGAGGAGGTCAGTAACTTTGCCACTCCCTGGGTACCACCACCGGAATCTCCATTTGGACCACCAGGAGGGGCTACCAGGGTCAGCTTCTGGGAAATAGGTGGTTTCTTCACTGCCGAGCTTGGGACAGGCTGGTTGGTGGACTGTCCTGTGGAAGGAGGCTGTATGCTGGGGAGCAGGGTCCCAGAAGCAGAGCTCTGCACTCGGGTTCCTCCAGAGGAAGAGCTGCCAGAAGAAACCCCATGTTTGGAGATAGAGCCAGCAAATGGATTATTCTTATAAGATGGCCCCGCAGAGTTGGCTGGGTGCTGTTTTGCTGGGTGGCTCAGGGCAGTAGAGGACGAGGCTGGGGTCTTATGAGAGCTGCCACTGGAAGATGGCGAGCCTCCAGAGGAGGTTGGTGTGGGGGGATGGAAGCTCTGGCCTTTGGCTGCTGTCTTCACTAGCTGCAGAAGGGAACGATGACACTGTGGGGAGGAAGCCTTTGGGCCTTGGAGTTTACTGACAAATGGAGCTGGGGGCGTGAAATTTTTCTGCTGCTGAGTGCCCGCATGAAAGACTTTGACTTGGGGGCCAGGTACTGGAGCTGCCGCCTGGGGTCCATGAGACGTCCGTGGCAAGCTGTGGTGCTTTGCTTTGGACTGGTGTACTTCTGGCAGGCCCTTGCTGAGGGGAGCCTGGCAGGACAGCTCTTTGTAGCCAGAACTCTCTGGTTTTTTCTCCTGAGAGGATTGCCCCAGTGCTAGAGCCTGTTCAGCCAGAAAATTTAGGGGTGACTGCAGTGTGCTAGCGGGTGGTGGTGCCGAGGGGTTGGGTTTCACAAAGTTCCTTTTCTCTTCCGCACACAAAACACCTGTGACTTTTTCTGCTGGTGCTTTGGAGGGTGCAGCCATTGTGAACTCAGAGCTCCCAGCCACTCTGCTATTCAACACGGCCAGCTCCTTGGACACGGCTTCCATTGAGGCTGGATCATGGCCCAAGTCTTCATCCAATGAGTCCTCCAGGTTGACAGGAGCAGGGTTAGTGAGGCCACCAGACACCTGGGATGGGGGCTCCCTACTCGTGGACCCAATGTTCAGGCCTCCTCCCTGGTGTTCCGATGGCAAAGCAGTGGAGCCAGCCATCTGTCCTCCTGATGGGATGGAAGCCTTTTTATCAGGCTTAGCAGATGACTCCTAAATGAAAACAGAAATGATGACTGTTTAGAAATGTCCAAAGATGCCAGCGCTGGCCTGTTGTGAGGACATAAATGGGAACAACTCAAAGATCTGAGATTCCTGTATAATTACAAAACAAGGTGTGGACAGAGCAGATGTCAAGCCTGCCTTGTCTTAGGCACCCTTTGGTATGTGTCTGGCTGGCTGGGGCTGGCTTTACCCCAGTATGTTTTGTTGCTAAGGACATGCCCAGTCACAGGGAAACTTCTCTTTTCTGTTTCTAAAAAGTACAAGACCTATGCAAGAAGACACACTGCCTAGTGGCATTCACACTGTCTTGAAGTGTTCCTTGCTGCAGACTGACACATGGCATAAGAACTATCTTAAATTAGCTTTCTTTTCTCTTTGATTTCTCCCAGCACCCATCTCTCCTCGGTCCTTATAGGACTAGGAAAGGAATCTATCCTGTCACTCCTGCACCTCTGATACTTACCACAGTATGTCTCAGACACTGTAGAAGCTTGGCAGATACTCAGGAACAAATGACTGGCACAACTTATTCTCACGATCTCTTTAGGTATGGCTAAGGGGACCACCAAGTCTTAGGAACTGGTAAGAATATGGCAAGTAGCAATGTTCTTTACACTGAGAGGTCTCTGAGCATCTTGCACTCTGGCAGGTAGCCCAACAGTCGCCTCTCCTTTCTGCTGTTGCTCCAGGCTACACTGCACTTGGCCAGGAGTGTATCTCGGCATACGACCTTCACAACTGAAGGGGTGCTTCACTCCTCAGAGGGCTTCCAAAGACCCCATGTACCCCACAACAACCCCAGAAACTGGGCCAGCTAGGCACTGTTTTATAGACTTGAGCCTGGGGCAGGAGGATTGAATGGCCCATGCAGGTCTCTGCCCTGGTTCAAGAATAGCTATTCCCCTAGACCAGTGAAACTCAACAGCTGCCATGGTCATTTAAGAAGTTTCCTGGGCACTGCTTGCAGGGAGAAAAGGACAGCCAGCATATGACCTGAGCAAGCTGACTCACCTTCACCTTGATTTTAGAAGGGGCCATTACTTTCTTCTTGGCTCTGTTCAAAGAAATAAACACAGGGAAGGTTCAGAGGAGATCCACAGAAAGAGATAAAACAACAGTGTTCTGAAAAATGAAAAACGCCAAGACACTCACAAAATTGATGTCAGGTGTCCATGGCCTCGTCGACTCTCCTTAAACAGAGTCCTGAAAGAAATAGCACATGGCATTCTGTTCACCCTAGACACCACCATTCTATTTCCAGAGCTTTTCTAGCAACTCTGGTACTTGGTGGCTGCTCTTAAATCCAGTTGACTGGTGAGCTGAATTCCTGTTGAGAGTCCAAAGCAGCCACACTGGTGGGATGGAAGCCTTTCAAAAGCCCATCAAAAGCCAAGAGTATGGACTTTATCAAAAAAGACTATGGCTCTGTCCCTGACCTCATGGCCACCTTCTCCTAGGCAGAAGCACTTTCCTTACTGCCTATCCTTGACACTGCCAAGAAGAAAATGTGGGGTGAAACTCAAAACAAATTTCTTCATACAAGTCCAACCTATAAGAACAGAACAATTCCCAAGGCTTTATGATTTGTGCAAATTACAAATAAATAGGGCCCAACACAGAAAATCAGCCCTAGCTAACTTTCCCTGCCCTGTGTACAGCAGACATATTCCATTTGTGGGAAGTGACACAAAATAACCTCTACAACAGAAGCCTGGTATTTAGCTCCAGGAAGATGACAATCCTGCTACTTGAAAATGAGACTTTTGAGGACCATTAAGAAGCACCCATGGATGGATTCAAACTAAAAAGCTTCATCTCAACAAAAGAAACAATCAGTGAGGTGAGTAGAGAGCCTACATCTTGGGAGCAAATTTTTGCCACTTGCACATCAGATAGAGCACTTATCTCTAGGGTATATAAAGAACTCAAAGAGCTAAACACTAAAAAAAAAAAAAAAAAAAAAAAAAAACAATAAGTGGGCCAAGGAACTGAACAGACACTTCTCAGAAGAGGATATATAATCAATCAACAAATATACGAAAAAATGTTCATTATCTCTAGCAATTAGAGGAATGCAAATCAAAACTCCTCTAAGATTTCATCTTACTCCAGTCAGAATGGCAGCTATTAAGAATACAAACAACAATAAGTGTTGGCGAGGATGTGGGGAAAAAGGTACACTCATACATTGCTGGTGGGACTGCAAAATGCTGCGGCCAATATGGAAAGCAGTATGGATATTCCTTGGAAAACTGGGAATGGAACCACCTTTTGACCCAGCTATCCCACTCCTCAGTCTATACCCAAAGGACTTAAAAACAGCATACTTCAGGGACACAGCTACATCAATGTTTATTGCAGCACAATTCACAATAGCTAAACTGTGGAACCAACCTAGATGGCTTTCAGTAGTTGGATGGATAAAGAAAATGTGGTATATATACACAATGGAATATTACTCAGCAATAAAAGAGAATAAAATCATTGCATTTGCAGGTAAATGGATGGAATTAGAGTATATAATGCTAAGTGAATTTAGCCAATCCCCAAAAAACAAATGCCGAATGTTTTCACTGATATAAGGAGGCTGATTTATAATGGGGTTGGGAGGGGGAGAATGGGAAGATTAGACAAAGTCTAGATAGGGCAAAGGTGTGGGAGGGGAAGGGACTCGGTATGGAGGTAGAAATGAAGGTGTAATGAGATGAATATCATTACCCTAAGTACATGTATGAAGACATGAATGATGTGAATATACTACTTTGTATACAACCAGAGATATGAAAAATCATGCTTTATCAACATAATATGAATTATAATGCATTCTGCTGTTATATATAAAACAAAATAGAATAAAAAATTTTTTAAAAAGTACCCACGAAGCCAGGCCCAGTGGCACACACCTGTAATCCCAGCAACATGGGAGGCTGAAGCAAGAGGATCACAAGTTCGAGGCCAGCCTCAGCAACTGAGTAAGGGCCTAAGCAACTTAGCAAGACTCTGTCTCAAAGAATAAAAAGGGGACTGGAGTTTTAGCTCAGTGGTAGAGCACTTACTTTGCAAGTGTGAGGCACTGGGTTCAATCCTAGCACCACATAAAAACAAATAAAGGCATTGAGTCCATATACAACTAAAAAAAAATTTTAAATAAATAAATAAAAAGGGCTCAGTGGTTAAGCATCCCTGAATTCAATCCCCAGTATCAAAACAAAAACGAAAATAAAAACCACAAAAAGAAGCACCCATGATGGGTAGTGGTATATGCCTGTGACCCCAGCGACCCAGGAGGCAGCAGGAAGATGGCAAGTTTTAGGCCAGCCTTAGCAACTTAGTGAGACCTTATCTCAAAATAACATGTAGCTTAGCAGTAGAGCACTTTCCTAGTATGTTCAGGTCAATCCCCAAAACTGCAAAGAGCAACCAGAAAAAGTAGTACCCAAGATGAATCCATCTCTCAACCTCTGGCAGGAGCCATTATGTCAAAACAGGAAAGGGCACAATAAGCATGCAGCCAATCCTGAGCCACAGAAGGGTGAAGAATGACAAGGACAAAACCCCATAGGGAACTTTCTCTCTTCTACGCAAGACTGACAACAATCTTTCCTAGCTTCTATTATCTCCCCGAATTACTCAGGTGACATCAGATTTGAGTCAATTGGACAGTGGCTCCTTGATGGCACAACTTCCTGTCTGATCACACTGACCCTCACCTGGCCTGCATCCAGCCTTTGGGCCAGAGAGGCTTGACCTCTGCATCCAGAAAGGCCTTCACGCAGTCCTCCCATGCCTGGGCCTTGTTCCTCTCCAGATCATGGCTTTCCAGTTTGATCTTCACCACTTGGCACAGCAGTTCCCTGAGAAGTAGGCAGAAATCAGAAACTTGCAACCACCCAACTCTTCTTCAAGCTGTTAATCATGTGCTTTCAGCTGTTCTGATGAAAGTAAATGATCCTAACCTTCACTAGCAGTATGGGGACATGCTCAGAAACTGGCCCACAAACCCTCCAGTGAGGCAAGGTCCCAGCTTAGGCACACCTGATTTCATCATTCCACTGGAATTTCTTCCTTGGTCCCATTATCCTCCTGCCACCCTTTTCTTCATCATCTTCCTCATCAGAACAAATCCGTTCTCTCTGCTCCTTGTCTTTTTCCTCTTCCAGCATCCTACACAAGGAAGAGAAAGAAATGGACTCCGAAGTCCTCCTCCTCGCCTCTTCCTCCTCCTCCCTACTTAACTGGGACTTCTAAGATCAGACAGTGAAAATGCTGAAGAGCCAAGAGTCTGGTTTGAAATGAAAGTAAATACTGAGAGGTGTGAAGAGAAGAGACAACAGGATAATGGTGCACTAGGGCAAAGAGACACTTACTTAGCGACCTTTGCTTGCGTGTGTGCCTGGCACTCATCCTGGTACTTGGCCACCTGCTCAGGCATTGCCCTGCCAATGGCTTCCTTGAGCTTCTGGAGAGGCTCCTTCAGGCGCCCACCCTGCAGAGAGCAGGACACAGCAAAGTCTTGTTCACACACCAGACTTACACCAAGGAGACACAACAGGGTAATCAAAAGGAAGCAGTGCAGCTACAGATAGGGCTCTGTACTGAGTAGCCACCCCTCAGCTGGGCCCCAAAACCACACACCTGTTCATAGAGGTGAAGTTTTCGAGCACGTTTAACCAGAGCGTCCTTGCTGCAGGGCAGGAATGAAGAGAGATAGGCATATACCCCAGAACGGATCTGGCTACTCAGCTCCCGAGTTTGCACCTCTATGCTGAAGAACAGAACAGAGTCATCAACGGCCTGCAGCTCACTGCAGCGTCTCTCTTCACTAGATCCGCCTACATGGTGAGGCCAGCTAGGGGCCAAAAGCAGGTCCAACCTCATCCTGTTGGGCCACACTGCAACTGAGTGGCCAAGGCAACAAATCTTTGGCAATCAACAAACAATTCCCAAACTTGGCTAGGTAAAGTGGGTTAAGGCTTTTAGGTCAAGGACAGGACAAAGTCAAAGGCAGTCAAGAAAACAGAGCCCAAGAGAACAAGATCCACGTACAAAATTTCACAAACAAATATGACATAAAAGCTATCAAGTGGGAAGTAATGAGGTACTTGGGGTTGACAGGAAATACTTTCTGGCAGTGTTTCTTTTTTCCAGTTCCCAATTCTCTCCAAGACTATGAGGTCAAGGAAATCCTCACCCCCTCCACTTTCTCCAGCTGAATAAGCAGAAAAATATTCTCTTCAATGCCTTGAGCTTTCCATATTTGGCACGCTCAAGTGGGTTCCTTGTTGACACAAACACAAACCTCCCATCCACCCTGACCCTCAGGTACTCTTTGTAGCCCATGATTCCTGACCCAAGTAGCCAGTCCAGATCTTGGCCAGGGCAAGGCCATTTGCTGAACATTCCCAAGTCTTGACAACTATTCTTATATTAGCAAAAATTTCAGTTGTTGAGCAATAACCTTCTCCTGCTACATAATGCAACTGCAACCAGTGAAAAGCTGCAAACCTGAGGGCCAGATATGTTTAGATTTACGTTTGTTTTTGCTTTTTAATCCATTTCATACAGTGCAATGATTCGGGGGTTTCAAGGTTTGGAAGAAATGTGACAGGAATGAGGTACTCTGGCATTGAGAGCAGAGAAAGAAGAAAAGGAGAACAAATACTGAGGAACACTCCAATACAGAGCAGGCCCTGAGGCCACCACTCAACCTTCTGGATTCTCAGGGTCATGCAAGCAACCCCTTCTCTCTAGTCTCATCTTGCCCTTGACTCAAGAAATCCTCTTCCAAAAGTCCAGGACTGTATATATAGTATCTAATAAAGCCTTTGGCCAAAGATTAGTAAGATCTATCATTCTTGGAGACAGGTATTTAGTGTCCCTGTTTTATTTAATGAACAACATCAATAAAACTATATTAACCCAAGTCCTCTAGTTCATTGCTGGTCAGCAATAGTCCCATGCACTCCTGGCCTGCCCAACCCAGGTGTGTAACAGCAGATATGGACAGACAGACAGATGATACTCACTCTAGTAGGATGCCATTCATATCCTGGGTGAAGAACTTCTGTCTGCTCTCTCCCTCGGCAGCTCTGGCAGCCTGGTTCACAGCAGACAGTAACAGCCATTAGAACCTGTTACCCACGCATCCCATACACACCCCCGCAGGCACCAGTCACTGCTCCATAAAAGCACCTGTCAATAAAATCCTCCCCAACACTTTCCTGAGTCTACCCAAGTCCCGGATTAAGGTCACCTGTGATCAATGCTCTATTTTTTTCAAAGATGCTGCAGCATCTTGAACTGTACATCCCAGGACTTAAAACAGCAGTCACATAAAACAAAGCCACATAGAAACAAGCAATCCTGAGGCATCTGGTCAGAGGCCAACTCTATTAACTCCTGTGTCCAGACTCTATCATAAACTACACAGTTAGTTGAGATTTCCATACATTAACAGTATAAAAACAACTAAGAACTTCAATAAACCTATAAGATAAAAGCTTTTATCCACCAAAAATAACAATAAAAATAATAATGTATAGCTTTAGCATCTAAGGTCATTATCATCTTTTGAAACTTCTATTCTACTTAGGGTAGACACAAATTCTCCATCATCCAGATCACTGGAATGACATGCCATATTGCCTGATATGACAGGAATTTACTAGACTGTCTTCTTTTGCTTTCCATGAGAACACAGTTTATAACCTGGAGAGCAGCCTGGAGACCTCTAAAGTATCCTAATGGCAAACCATGCCTTGGTCAGAGAAGATGGCCCTCACAAGTAGCTCCATGTGGGAACCACCCATCAAACCACAATCTCTGGAGACAAGACTCAGGAATATGTATTCTTTAAAAGTAGCCCAACCATTAGAACTCTTTAAATGTAACTCTGAGACCCAGTGATCTAAACAAAAGGGATGCTGATTTTCAGGTTGTAGGCAAAATACAATTTCTGAAATCAGACATGATATGTAATAATGACAAATGGGTGATAAGGTGACTGTCTAGAGAAAGGGATAAATCCTGATCAAGCCTTCCACCTTCCTCTAATTGCACCTGCTGGGCCCTTCCAACCTCTGACTCCATCTGTCTGCCCACTAGCTCTTCCCTGTTGAAGGACTCCCAAGTTTCTATCTAGAACTCACTTCTTCCCATCATTTCTTTTCTCCTCATGTCTTCAAAATAATATACACACATGAAAGTCCCTCAAATCTAAACCTCTAGGGCTGGGGCTGTAGCTCAGTGGTAGAGCACCCGCCTTGCACATGTGAGGCACTGGATTTGATCCTCAGTACCACATACGAATAAATATTGTGTCCAACTACAACTAAAAAAAAAAAAAAAAAATCTATACCTTAAAACCCCTGTACCCTCTCTTCTAAGCTCTGGACCAGGATTTCCAATTACCCCTGTGAAGGGGTAATCCTCTGATATGCAAACTCAGCTTACCTAAAACTAGACCTGCCGGCTTTTGCTCATACTCCTGCTTCCCTGCTTCTAATATCTGCACTCCAGCCTTCTTGAATCCTCCCATTCCTTCCTTCATATTCTTTCAGTGGCTTTGACCAACTCTAGACCCAAACCCAAATTCCTTCTCATGGCATGCAGGGCACTCCAGGATCTGGCCCCAGCCGTCCACTATAACTCCCATCTCCTACCACACTCTAGGGGATTCCACCAACCAGCTGCTCACCCATCCTCAGCTCTGCCCTGCCTTCCCCACAGGTTGATCAACGTTGTAGCCTCCAGTCCCAGTCTTATGTACCCTCAAAGAGTTTCTCTTTTGACTCCTGATTGTCCACCTAGTCATCTAGTCAGCCATCTAAAATGGCAGAGTGTTTCATCCTGCTCTGTGCCGCAGCCCACTGTCTGCATAGGTATCATCCATTTACATAACATGCTCATGGAGGACAAGAACTAACTCTCATTGGCCCATACATTCCTCACAGCTGCCTACCAAATAATAGATACTTAGTAAACATTGGGAAGTGGATATATGGATGAACAAAGGAATGAACAGATACCGCCATAGAAAGGCAAACTAGATGAGGAAAAGCCTAATGCTGTCTAACCAAAACTAACCTGAAGAGCTACAAAACTCAAGTTTCTAAAGATGACTTGGTTGAAGGACAGCCCAGAGGCCTTGGATAAAAGGTGTGACAAGGATGGATGGATGATGGAAGAAAGAAAGGCATGGCTTTTAAACTTTACATCCATGTGTAATTTCTTACACTTTCAGCATTCAGAATTTCACCTTAGAACTTTTAAGGTACTGCAATTACAACATTAGTTTGAGAAAACAGGAAAACTAAAGCATTCTTTTGATTCAACTACTGCTAGTTCTAAGATCCAGATCCTCAATTAATTCAATCTAATTCCTTCAACATGTATTTTAAAATGCCCCACTGTTTGACAAACCCATCAACAGTCTTTTAAATAAAATTTGTCTTTATTTTAAATAAGGTTTATATTTCAGTACCAATCAACCTTTTCTCCAATACTTCAGAAGTTTTCTGCCTACATAGTCTTTAAAAAGATTTTCTTTCTGAACTGTCTTAATTGCATAGATTGTCCTCAGAGGGTCTGGTTTCATACTGAAGTTAATCAGTCAAAACACTGCATTTTAAAATAAATTTAATTAAAAGCAACTGGATAGATATCTGATAGTCTATCAGAAATAAGTGAGGCCCCTTGCCTGAGATATTGTATAAATTAATCAATCCTAAATTAACTAGGAAATGAGGTTAAAGCAAACACCTTGGTCATGCTGACTTATAACAGTTCCAAGATATATATATATATATTTTTTAAAGAGATGGGGATCTTTCTATCTTGCTATGTTGCCCAGGCTGGCCCTGAACTCTTGGCCTCAAGTAATCTTCCTACATCAGCCTCCCAAATTAGCTGGGCTATAATCACATGTCACTGTGCCCAGCCTCCAAATGCCTTTTTAAAAATTTTTTTTTGTTGTTGATAGACCGTTATATTTATTTATTTATTTATATGCAGGATGAGGATTAGTCAGCAGTAGAGCACCCCTGGGTTCAAGTTGGTTTTTTTTCCTACCTTATTGTCTTTAAGTCCCTCTTTCCCTGGACTTCTGGGGATGCAAGGGTTGTAACTCAGTAGGAGGGTAAAGGTGTGGGTGCTCGGGACCTGTTTCCTTTCTGTTCTTAATATCATTCCCACTTCATGCCTAACTAAAGAGGACCAAAGAAGACCTGGGTCATATGTAAGAACCAGGCTGAATAGCTGCCAAACTATATCAAGACAATAATCTGAGGGGGTGTCAAAGTTGAGCTTTCTCAGCACCCTGTATGTTCCAACCATTTATACAAAAGACATCTGTAATCAACACATGTTAATACAGGGCAAGACCATCAAATCACTATATTCCCTGGATCCAAAATGTACAAATGAATAGAAAATGAGAAATAAGCTAACACGAGAAAACAGTGAATATAACATGGACATCAATCAAGGCATCTCTCTTGGTGTATCTCTTTAATGTACGTAAGTTTTCAAGATTTTTTTTTTTAAGTTTCTCACTTAGAAAGTAAATCTACTTTTTGCTTTCTATAAAGAGTGTGTTTTTCCCTAAGAGATCACTACACATCAGAGTAGAATCTACTATGCACTGTGGTAGATTGCAAACAGGAGCACAGATTGTTCTCATGGAGAAATGCCCCCCAGAGAGCAGGTCCTAGGCTCCCCAACCCTTTAATCTTGGCTGCTCTTATGACTCACTTTGACTAAGAGTGTGGCAGAAGCAGTGTAACACATATAACCTGTAAAAGCCAGATCTTATGGCCCTAAGAATTCCACTTCCACGAGATGCTGCCACAACCAAGATCACCATGCCCTGAAGACGTCCAGGATAAAAGGCCCAAAGGAAAGGGAGGTCTGGTCAGCACCCAGTTAACCTGCCAGCTGAATGCAGCTGCAAGACTGAGCCATGCCAGGCATGGTGGCACATGCCTGTAATCCCAACACTTTGAGAAGCTGACGAAGAAGATTGTGAGTTCAAGGGTATCCTCAACAATTTAGTGAGACCCTCAGCAACATAGTGACATCCCTATCTCAAAATAAAGAAGAAAAAGGACTGGGGATGTAGCTCAGTTGTAAAGTACCCTGGGTTCAATCCCCAGTACCAAAGGGGTATTTAAAAAAAACAAGAGTGAGCCCAAGCAGGATCAGAAGAGAAACTACCCAGCCAGCCCACAATCAGGAGAAATGAATAACTGTCAAAGTTTTGAGGTCCTTTTTAAAAAGGCAATAGAAATGGATACATTATTACCTAGGGTCAAGATTTTAAATCTAACCAACCTATTATAAAAATAAACAAGGGGAAAAAAGAAAAATAAGGGGAGTGAAAAATAAAGTGAGAAACACATAACACTGCTAATGATAGTTATACACATCAAATTTAATTTAAAATTAATTTAAAACGCAATATCTTTCAAAATCCAGGACAGAGTTCCTTATTAAGGATCCAAATATCCCCATGCAACTTTTGGAATTGTATGCAGTTTTTGTGTACAAATGCCTTCTTTCCCTGGGAAGATTACCTTTCCTAGCAAATTCTCAATAGGGCCTGCAGTCCAGAGCATTTGTGTACACATGTGGGGGTTCCAGGTGCCCCAAGTGCAGGGGCCCTGCTGGAATAACTTTCTATAATAAGCCTTCTTTTTAATGCAACCATTAAAAATAATGAGGGCTTTATAATAATATTTATTAAGTGAAAAAAATCATGAAACAATTATTCACAACTATAATCACAACTGCATAAAAACATACACAGAAGCTAGAAAGGAATATGCAAAGTGAAATTGTTTTTCAACTGGTGGGGTAATAGATAATCCCCACACACTTCCCACCCCATTTTCCAAAGTTTCTTAATGCAGGAGCAGGGCGGGCCAGATGAAGATTAAAGTGTCAATTTCACCCTTGAGCACTGTATTTTCAAACCAGAATATCAAACTCTACATTCAGCATCTCTAGGACCCAGGCCCACCTTGCCTACGGAATCCTGAACCCTTGTCTGTCATGCCCAAGAGCAATCACTCAAGAGGAAGCTTGCCAGACAGGGGATCCACCAAGGGAGCTTTCTGGCACCACAGTCCCATGCTGTTTCAGGTTACAGCATTTTGTTCCACTTGATGTGCTCTGTGTTTCCCAAGAGATTGAAATAATAAGTAAGCACGCTAGAACGCAACCTATGGTGGGAATGAGGACGTATCCAAGAATTCTATTTTGACTTTTCTCTAAAAAAAACACCTGGCTACCATCACATAGTCCTTACTTATTTAACAAGACTTTCAGAAACTATAAAACAATTTGATTACAAACCATAGGAATGAAAAGAACAAAGTAATTTTTTTAACATGAATTCTGAGAGCAAATACAGGACAGTACACTCAAACATGCCAAGTTCAGGTTCAACTCCTTCCACCTCAATGTCATATTTAAGATACACTCTGAATCCCTGACATGGCACAATTCATTAAAATCATTACATTCAAATAAAACACTTATGCCCAACACTGCACGCAAGCTAAAAAGGATGAACTAGAGATTTCAATAAGATGTTTATTTGCTTTGTATACTATGTTCAGATATTTTCTGGAAGTGAGAAAATCATTTATAGAGGTGGTTGACATTTCACCTGCCCTGAACATAAAGGATAATTACATAGCATTGATTCTGATATGCTATGAGAATCACTAGTTCAGAACTACAGCTATTGAGTACAAACGACACTGAAACTGCAGTACAAACCACGATGCCTAAGGTAAAATGTTATTTTAACTAAAAGGTATTGTCATCATTAACTAATGATCCATGCTTGGTTCTAGGTAGTATTACTGAATTGACAGTCTCAGCACTTAGGGATGAATTCCAAATCGATAGAGAACAGGAGCAGCAACAGCTGATCTATGCTAAAGGTTGCTGTTGTTGTTAAGGGGCACAGACAACATTCAAGTTAAGCTCCTTTTTACTTAGCACCATGGAGGCATTCCTGTGATTGCTACCAACACGGATGCTGACAATAAGCAATTCGAGGGAGCAACCAAAACCCAGTGACAATTGAGCATATGCTCTATGTGTAACTTACATGTTTACAAACTTTAGTGCATTTTCAAAAGCTAATAAGATGAATCTCTCTCTCAGCTGCCTGATGTCAACATCAGTGTTGGTCTATGCACAAAAGGAAATACTGTGTGGGAAAGAAACTAACAGGCAGAAAAAGGAAAGAGAAAAATCTCCCAGGAAGAAAATAAATTATTTGGAAGAGAAAGAACCAAGAAAGGCTTAAATGTGAAGCCTGATGGGCAAAGCTGACACTGTTTTCCTCACTCAGGATGAGGAGAGGTTGGGGAAAGCTCACACTTTCACTGCCAACTCACTAAGGATTTCTTTGGGCATCGAGCTTCACGCCGTGCAGAACCAACACCAATCTGCCCGACCGCTTCCAGGAAAGCCCGGCCACACTGTGTCACCATACCTGAGCCAGCTCCTTAATGCGCTTCTCCAGGGGTGCTGGCAGGCCTTCGGGGAGGGAAGAGGGCTGCCTGAATTCCTGGTCCAATCCCACCCCAAGGGAATCGCTTCCATCATCCATATCTTGGAAAGGGCTTCCTTCTGGAGACTCACTGAGCAGCTGCTCCAAGTCCAAATCCGTCAGTGAGTCCATGGCAGTGGCCACCTGGAGCAAGTCATTGTCAGAAGTGGAGCCAAAGAGTGAGAGCAAGGGGTCAGAAGCACCCTCCAAGTCCCGCAGGCCCTGAGCTTCCACCGATGAGACCACTACAGGCTTATGCTCCTCCTCTCTCTTTTTCTGAGCCTCTTTCTCCTTCTGAAATTTCTTTAGCATCTCTTTAACACTTAAAGCCCCAGAATATTTCTTCTTCTTCTTTTCCTTACTGGCATTGAGGGCTGTGAAGCTGTAAGCAAGAAAGAAACTGGTTACCCAAGCTGCAGGACCACTCCACAGGGAAACTCAAGAGGCCTTCACCCCATCCCAGGGCAATGGTCTCCAGAAGAACCTCAGTCACAGTCCACCCTGTTATTATTCCTCCCTCCTCTTGGCATATGAAGCTCGTTCTTGCTGGACCAAAGCTTAAGAGTGAATACAGGTTAGCAACACAGAGTCACGTAATGCTAAATATCCAACGGGTTTTTAAGAACCACTGCCAGGCTGAAATAAAAGGTTGCAAAAAAAAGGGGAGGCACAAGAAAAGTATTTAAAGGGAGAAAGCAGGAGCAGCAGAGAACAGCAGCAACTTGAAGGCAGCTGGGGTAAGACCAAGTGAAGAAAAGGAAGCGTGACCATAGAAGACAAAGGGAAACAGCAGAGACAGAAGAATTGGGGCAGAGAGAAAAGTGCCCAAAAGAACGAGGAACGTCAGCAATAACATAGTCACAGAAATAGCTGCCGACACTGACAGGGGAACAGAGGAACGCTGGCTATCTGACACACAAGAGATGAGAGCATCTACGACTATGCCCAGATCAGCCCTGTAGGAGGTGAGAGGGAGGACAGGAGGGCCAGGCCCTGCTGCCTCTTCTGAAGCTGTGGGGGAGGTGAGTCAGCTCCTGGGTGTCCTGCCCTCACGGGTCAGACTTTATCCTAGCGAAAAGCTGCTGCCTCTCACCCGGCTTTGGAAAACTTGGACTTTTTCGATTTCTTCTCCTTGTCATAAGTGTCATCTTTTTTCTTCTTCTTTATCTTCTCACCACCTTCCTTCAACTTCCGCTTCTGAGAATCAAAGACAAGGCACAGTTACACAGCTCCCTGACTTAGGGAGCAAGTGCACTCACTACATGGCACTGGCCTTGCTCCGCCCAGGCATATCCTGAGACCTGTCTTTCTTCCTTCATGAACAAAAAGCTCTCAGAGCAGTCCCTGGACCACAAACCCATAGCATTCCCACCAGAGTGTGTCCTGGAAACACCCAGAGGGGAGACAACAGTGTCTCTCTGAAGCCTGAAACTGTGCTCATTTGGAATGGGCTGAGGTGAGCCCTATCTCTTGTTTTACACAATGGGCAATGGCAGACAGACCCTACAATATTCTTAGCCTAAGGGTGGCTTGTTTTCAGTGGGTGACACCCTGGGAACTGAAGTCCTCTACACATCCACAGAAGAGGGCCAAGCAAGGGTGCTACACATGCCTCACTCCACACCCTCACTGCTCCCATCCCCACCCCAAAGCCACCTCAACACACAACTCTGCTGAGCTTGCTGGGGCATCCATGACAAACATGATGACTGAGGGCTGACGGAAGCCCATTCCACATCGCCTTGGCACAGTTCAGCCTTTCCACCAGCCTCCTGAGCCATCCCAAATCGTCGCACACTTTGGAGTCACCCACTTATCTTACAGGGTCATGTAAAAAAACATTTCTGAAATACAAAAGCAAGCATGTTCTAACCTTTGGAGATTTTTTCTTCTTTTCTTTAATGAAATCATCCTCAGATTCGGATGCTTGTCTAAATTGCAGAGTTCCTGAGTTAATGTAAAATCCTCCATACTTTGTGGTCAAAGAAGCAGGAACAAGCTCATCATACTGAAGGGGAAAAACATACTGTCAGCTCCAAGTTCTGTTTTTAAAGTCCAAAGGCATAAAGCAGGTCTGAAGAGATGTACATGTGCTTCTTCTTCTGTCATACTTCAGACAGTATGGGAAGATAGCCCTCTCTCTCCCACCAATCACAGATGTGAGAGCTACAAAGTGTGATGGACAGAGTAGTCATATTTCTCAGATGAGGGCACCAAGGCCCAGGTCCAAGAGGACACTTCCTCTCACATCAGTGCTGCTCATTCCTCTCACTGAGAGCATGCTGTTCTGACTCTGCCCCCAGCTTCCCAGACACAAACTGAAGAAGCTAAGATGTAAAGGGTTGTTTGTTTTTTTTTTTTAATATATATTTTAGGTGTAGATGGACACAACACAATGCCTTTATTTTTATGTGGTGCTGAGGATCAAACCTGGGTCCCGCCCATGCTAGGTGAGTACTCTACCGCTGAGCCACAATCCCAGCCCGATGTGGAGGTTTTGATATTGCATTTTCATTAACAACTCACCGCCTCAGAGTTATCGATGAAGGAATCAGATTCATCATAACCATACCCCATGTCAATCAAGTCCTGTATTCGGTCTTTTCTACGTTTCTTTCCGCCCTAAAATTTAAAAGCAATAGATCACATATTTTTTGATAAGCACACAGAATTAAATATTGTCTTTGAATTTCATCAGCTGGTGATTAAAAGTGGTAAAGCATTGGGTCTTTCTCATCCCCCCTCAAAACCTCATTCTCCAAAGACCTCTGAAAATAGGACAATTTGTATTTGCATAAAATAGTCTAAGACAGAAGAATGAACTAAATGGCTTCTATGCTTCATGCCAAGACACTTCCTCTAAGGAAGTGTTCATTGGCCCATTTAGCTCACATACTAGCTCCTGTCATATGAGATTTCTATACCTTAGTGCATTTGTTTAATAACTGCATTCTGTTTTCTCTGAGTTCTATACTTATTTCCAGATCATTGTTGATTATTTCATAATCCACTAAAGAAACATGCCGTTTCCATCTAATGAGAATGTCTGGTTGTCCAAGAGAGAAATCTTACATATTTTTCTTCAAATTTCCGTGCAAGGGCTTCCACTTTATGCCTTTCCTTTTCTTCATCATTAAAAGGATCTGAGAGATCTTTCTTCTGCAAAGAGATCATTTCACAAAAGTAAGAATTAGCAAAAAAATTATTAGTTTGATTCATAAAACCTTCACTGACTACTCAAAACCTATACATAACAAACACTATTTTTCAGAAAAGACAAGGTAGAATACATGCTACCATCTTGTCAATGTTTACCTTGTTTAAAAAAGGAAACCTTTTATTCATGTAATTCAACAAAATTTGATTAAGTGCCTACAATCATCCATCTAGCGCTAGAGACACAGCAAAGGACCTTTAGATGGGGATACTCAACCTCTACAGAACTGTATGCAATATAGGTGATTATCTTTATAACCCTACAGTTTATTTTATGCACTTGAAAATGTACTAAGAAGAGGTCCACAGGCTTCACCAGAATTTCAAAGTAGTCAATGGCCCAAGAATGCAGCACAAGTTCTGGAGAGCTGTTTAGCAAAGCAGTCAGAAATGTACTTTTCCCAGAGATACCAAAGTCAAACCTGGTTCCCCTGTCTTTAGAAGCTTATCTGCAAGGGTCCATCATCTCTTCTTGTCCTTCAATTCAATACTCACTCAAAATATTTCCATGCAGTATACTTTTACTCTATAAGCTTATCCTTGCATTTTTCTCATCAAGTAAATTTTCCACAGTTGAGTCTTATGTGTTTTGGGCAAATATATATTAATTTTAATAAAAGACTCCTGTACTAAATATATGCTTTAAAACTTCAGAGTAAACCAAACCACTAAGACTTGCAAACACTAATGCTGTTTGAAAACAAAACTCTTATTCTACCCTCCCATCTCTGCGTACTAAAACCTACACACTCATAAATGATCTGTTAAGGGGGCTGGGGTTGTAGCTCAGTGGTAAAGCACTTGCCTGGCATGTGTGGAGCACTGGGTTCAATCCTCAGCACCACATAAAAATAAATAAACAAAATGAAGGTGCTGTGACCATCCACAACTAAAACCTACTAAAAAATAACAATAAAATAAATGATCTGTTAAATGACTTTCAACTATGTAAAATGGAATATTACACTACATACAACATACATACCACAAATGGGTGGCTATTAAAATGTGGTTATTTATATCATCAACTTTTTCTACAATGATCCAATATAACTTGGGTAGTTAAAATAATTTTAAGAAATCCCACCAATCTTGATTGAAAACCAATGAAGTCAAGGTGTGCTCCTTAATGCTTTGTAATAACAGTCTTCCAGTGACTATTTCCAAGCATAATAAAGATCCAGCTCTGTCCAAAATGGCATCCTGGATGTGAGTTCTTCTCTGCCCAAGCCCTCTGGCCTGTGTTTGTAGCCAGCTTAAACAATCATCACATTGTAACTTGTTACCTGTGCTGGTATAATTCTCCTAAAACATCTACAAGATTGCAAGTTCCTTTAAAGCTGGGACAGTGTCTTCCCTAACTCTGTATAATTCTCAGTGTCTAGCAGAGTGCTTCATGTTATAAGGAATACAAGCTAGACCCATAAACAAATGTGTCAAATTATATTATACATTTTTTTCTTTTGTGGTGCTGGGAAAAACACACACACACACACACACACACATGCTTGATCTACCACTGACCCATACATACTCCAGCCCAGGTTATATTATACTTTAACACTACAGAACAGAACAATAATGACTCAGAAGTCCTAAAACTTTAGTCCAGGAATAAATCCACTAAAACTGGATCCAAATTTCTCTGTGTATGCTCCATACATTTTTCTGCAATGGAGAAAATCATTTGGAGCCCACCAAAAAAGTGGGCTCTAAGGACTGGAGTTCTAATTTCAGTTGACCTACCAATCTGGTTTGATCCCATGTTAACCAACTCCTGCCACTGGTTGTTCCTCTCAATGAAGAGGATACCAATCCTACTTTGGAAAAGAGACAGTGAACAGATTTCAAGTAATTTCCTCTTATTCTGCCCACTGACCCTTATATAATAGGATAACCCTTGGTACAGATTCATTAGCTTCCATTCAGCCAATAAGATCTCAATCAAGGAAATATATTTTTTAAGCAAAAAAAAAAAAAAAAAGTGAGTGATGCTACTAACCAAATGTACTTCCTCCAATCAGTCCAAACATGAATTAGACTGAGTGAGCACTTAGCACGGAGGCACTGGGCTAAAACTTCACCAACATGATCTCATTACACTCTTAGTTTTGTGAACTAGACACTGGCCTTGTTTTCATTCTATCAAGAGCCACTTAAGAGACCAGAATGATGCAAGTGTACAGTCCTAACCTTTTCCTCAGAACCTAGCACAGTGCACTGGTAATACTGTAGGAGTTTTAAAATGTTCTTCACTCAAGCTCCTACTCATACTATATGATTCTATCTACACAAAAAATACAAAAACATGCAAAAGTGACCTTAGCTACTGGGGGTTGCCCTTGAGGGTCAGGGTGGTGCACTGCTGAAGGCAGGAGGGTTTCTAGCAAATGTTTCTAGTAAATGTTACATCTTGTGATCTGGGTGCAGGTTCCACAGTGTTGAGTTTGTGAAAATCCATCAAGCTGTGCATTTATCATATATGCATTGTTCTTAAATACATGACTCGAATAAAATTTATAAAAACTTTCTGAAATGTCAATGAATTGCCAAAACCATGATAATAGTTGAAGCCAGGTGATGGGCTCTGCTCTCCACTTTTATGCCTGTTTAAAAGCTCCATACTAAGGGTGGGGTTGTGACTCAGTGGCAGAGCGCTTGCTTCACACATGTGAGGCAGTGGGTTCAATCCTCAGCACTACATAAATAAGTAAACAAAATAAAGATATTGTGTCTATCCATAACTAAAAATTTAAAGCTCCATACTAAAAAGTAAACTAATTTGCTAGGAAAATAAATAGATAATTTAAAAAACATAAAGAAATCAAATTGATTTTTAAACACCCTGAAGGCAAAAAATAAGTTAAAAAGGGTATGTGTGTGTGTGTGTGCGCGCACGCGCGTGTGTGTATGTATGTGTATAAATATATTCCTACCCATTCAAGTAAAGAAACTACCCAGAATATTACTGTTCAGAAGAGATAAGCAGCAGTCTGTGTATTTTCTTTGTCCTTGCACTAGACAGGGAAAGTCCCTTGGCAAAGGGAAATGTCCAGCACAGAATTCTAGCACCACAACAGCCAAAGAACTGGTCTCTCTTACATGTTACATTTACAACCTCATTATGAAAAAAATGTATTGTTTCTTTTATTTACATTAGTTATCCATAATTCAAATTAGCCTTAGATAAACCATATGTTTTTCTCTAGCATCAATCAGGAAAATGATGCTAGAAGAATTCTCTTCCTTCATGACCAGTGGTAAGGTCAGCTAATCTTGTAGGTGCTTTCCATGACTGATGTGCCCTTATCCACATCTCTCTAGCCTCACTTCTCATTTCCCTGCTGTGAAGGCCCATGTGCACACAGTGACACTTCCATGTTAGGTCTGCAGAGCAACTCTATGGATGCTAGAGCGTACCTTATCTCCAGACTGAAGGCCTTTCACCTTTCCTCGTATATTCTTCACCAGCTCTGGGTAGAAGAACTCGGGGCAGCGTTTGTGATCTGGTTCAAAGAGGGTGAGTGTAATTCGAACAGCTGCCGCAGCTGGCTCACAGTCCTGATGCTGTTCTGCTCCCCCAACCTCCTCTTTCCGGGACTTCTTCAAAAATGCAGGATTCAGAGAACCTGGGAGAGAGGTGAACTGGACCCTGTGGGGCTCCGACATGGCTACCAACAAGTCTTAGCAGGTGTCACTGCATGGCTTCTGTTAACATTGAAAAGAAGGGCCAGGTCAAACCAAGATGATAAAAACAAACACTTCCTTTATAGATTTAAGTTTAAAATAATTTCATTATCAAGAAGAATCCATTGTTGGATTTATTTCTGTTGCTATTTATTGCTTTTTCTTCTGCTTAAGTAATACTCATTCTAAATATAATTTTTTTCATAACTATATGATAATCACCTCAAATCCCATGATCCAGGTCAAAAGATGATAGAATGATGCAGTTAAAACTTTTATCCCATACAATTCTTCCCATTTCTTTTTATGCCTACAATTTCTTTTTATGCCTTCTCCAATCAGATCTTATATAAGATTCCCCTGATAAGGTCATTCATATATACATTTTTCACATGTAACTCCTTAACCCAAGTTGAACTTACTATGCTATAAGGCAAGAGGACAGGCTCTAACTTGGTTTCTCCCCAGCATCAATCACTAAATAATCTTCTTTTCCCCTTGCTGATTTGGCATATATCATCGAGTAAAGCCTCAGATATGTAAGGTCTAATTCTGAAAGCCATCTGTTATATTAATCTAGTACTTAAGAGATTTTTAACCAAATCAATAGCAAAGTTTCGAAAAGTTTTCTGGCATGTTTTAATATCTTGAATTAAAAGTTCATCCTTATTGTCTTTTAAAAATAATATTTGGCTTTTCCAGCCTATTTATTATTTCAGTTCAATTTTAGAATCATTTTGGCAAGTTCTCCCAGAAGGCTCACTATACTTTGATTGTAAATGAATCACAAATATGAATTAATTCAGGGAGATTTGTATATATTCTCATACATGTAGATGTATTAGTACATATCCAGTATCCAATCTTTTCATTATAATCGTAAAATTGTGATCTAAGACCAGACAAGGAAGAAAAATATCTAAAAACTATAAGAGTTAAAATCTTCCTAATCAGGCAGCAAAGTGACTGGCAGTGAAACAGGTTGGCCAGTATGCAGACCACTTACTAACTAATGTGCACAAAGATGCTGAAAAAGAATCCCCCCCACACACTCACTTCCAAAGAAACATTCACAGCTCTTGGGATATGTGTGACACACTGGACTGTGAAAATAAATCCAGCTGAAAGCTTACAGGTCTCCCACTGAGAGAGCAGACACAGTCCCACTGTAAGAAGAGAATCAGCAGGATGTTCAATAGGAGGAAGAAAGGCCATCCTTAGCTGGGCACAGGGGCACACAACTGTAATCCCAGCAGCTCAGGGGGCAAGACAAGAGGGTCAGGAATTCAAAGCCAGCCTCAGCAACTTAGCAAGGCCCTAAGCAACTTAGATCCTATCTCAAAATAAAATATAAATATGGCTGGGGATGTGACTCAGTGGTTAACCATCCCTGGGTTCAATCCCCAGTACCAAAAAGAAAAAGAAAGGCCATACTAGAGATGGCAACCAGATCCTAATGTCCCTGTACAGCTGGTAATTTAAAAATATAACCTCATTTCATTCCAAGTTGAGACTGCAACTTCAATCCACCTAGACCTTAAAACTGCTCCTCTTAAGTTGCAAAAGCAACTGTGCAAGTGTAAGACAGTATAAAAGCAGGACCATACTGGAGGACAGGGCTGGGATGTAGCTCAGTTATAGAGTGCTTGCCCAGCATGCACAAGGCCGTGGGTTTGATCCCCAGCCCTGCAAAGAAAATTAAAAGAAAGAAGAAAATAAATAAAACCAGAGGACAAAGTAAATCAACCTATTGTATATTAACACAAGTTAGACTTGTGGTTAATCAATCATAATATGCTATCATTTGTCCTAAGTCATTTGAAACATTTAAGAGAATCACATATATCCCCATCCCCCAGTACTGGGGATCCAACCCAGGAGAGCTTTACCACTGAGCTACATCATCAACTCTTTGAGTCAGGGTCTCACTAAAGTTCCAAACTTGTGACTCTCCTGCCTCAGCCTCCTAAGTCACTGGGATTACAGTCACGCACTATTGCACCTGGCAAGTACCAGATATATTAAAGAAGGACATGTTAGATTTACAATCTTAATTTGAACTGTTAAACTTCTAAAGTATTTACATGTTTTAAAAAACCTGACTTACATGTTTAGACTTAACAAATGTTAAGTTCTTGGAAAGACTGTACTATTAGATTTACAAGTTCACCTCTTTCGAAATTTGAAATATTTGAAAGTATAAAAATATTAAATGCCATTTATAACATTTAAGGGAACCGGAGCATAGTGGCTCATGACTATAATCCCAGCAACTCAGGAGGCTAAGGCAAGAAGATGACAAATTCAAGGCCAGCACAGACAACTTAGCAAGACCGTGTCTCAAAATACAAAATAGAAAGAACTGAGGACATACCTCACTGGCACAGTGTCCCTGGGTTCAATCCCCAATACCACCAAAAAAGAAAAAAAATAAGGGAATTTAATTAACCTGGTAAAAACAGTTAATTGCTTAAGGGAATTTAATGTTAAACTGGTGCCTTAATTGAACCTTACTAAAAAATCAAATATTTTTGCTTTTACATGAATATTCTTAGATTTATAAATAAAACAAACCAACATTTGTAAGTAAAACTTAGTCTTAAAAATAGCTAAGTTTTAAAACATTCAACTTTAATGAGTTTAAAATTATTCTTAGTATTCTATCCCCAAAATCATTTCTCTTAAAAGATTTCAACTGGAAAAAAAAAAAAGTCTTCAACTGATTATGCAAAACAATGGTAGCCTCCTTTGCATCTCAGGTTATTCCCAGGAACTATATATATATATTTTGTTATTATAAATATATCCTTTTTAACCATTCTGGTTTCAAACTGGTTATTGATAAAACAGAAAGATTAATTTGTTTATGCTAATTTTGTAATTAACCCCTTTACTGAGTTTAGTGTGGTTTTTGTTTGTTTTTTTCCCCAAAATAGCAGTACTGTCATCCACAGAAATGATCATTGTCTTTCCTTTTCTGGAAAACTGCACTGATCTTTGTTTCATGTCTTATTGCATTGGCTAGAACTTCTAGGGTATCAGACAACATATTTTTTTTGCAATGTTCCTGCAAAGGAATGGGAATGCATATATTTTAATTGTAAAACTGATTCACATTTTTATTGTCATTACTATATCTTCAATTCTTCAAAAGTTCAAGTTTCTAAAAAAGAAAACACGTGCTCGATTTTATTAGATTATTTCCCACAATCTTAAATACGCTTTAAACAATCAGTTAAGAACATACACACACTGTGAATTCATCGCAGTCCCTACAAATAATTCACGGTACTTCATCGAAACTGGTCTCCAAAGAAACATCAGGTTCCGGGACAACCCAGCAAGCTCAAACACCCTCACCATCAAAGCCTCTGCACAGCACATGGCCCACGGGAAATGCGGGTGGATCTGCCACCTTTACAAGCAGGCATTTGGCTCAGGAAAAGTGGGGCTCTATGGCAGTCCACCTGGACTCGGGCTGCAGGGACTCTGTTGTAAAGAGCCACGCCGCTACCTGTCTACGGAAGTTTAGGCAGGCGCCCGGCTCGACCGCGGCGAACAGTCCCCCTGCGCAGGCAGCCGACTTCCTGCTGTCACAACTTCTTGCAAAGTGTCAAACTACACCAAGGCTAACGCGGGAGCCCAGCACCGACAACCACACGCACCTTTGTCCCCAGCGCCGACGCGGGCCGCGGACGTCCCCCCGCGGCGGTCCTCATGCCGGCCCAGATTCTGGGCTGCCGCGCGGCTAGCGGCCGGCTCCCGAGCTCTGTTTGCGGGCGGCCGGCCGGCCGGTGCCGCGGCCCATGGCCGGTTCCCCGCCCGGGGGCCTCGTCAGCCGCGCCGCGCGCCGGCCAGAAGGCGCGGAGGAATGCCAACTCCACGTCCCAGAGGCAACTCGCGGGACGACGAGGGGGCGGCCACCGGGGGCGCCGGCAGGAATGCGGCGCGGACCCGCAGCTCCGACGCTGCTCCGGGAGCCGGCCGTCCACAGGAGCACTTCGCAGAAACCGGCGGCGGCAGCGGGCGAGCGCGGACGCCGGGGGCCGGGGCCTCTCGGGCTGCAGTCAGCGGAGCCCGCCGGGCGCAGGGCCCCAGGCTTGGCGCAAGCTGACTTCCAGGCCTCGCCGAGGTCCGTCAGAGCAGCTCGCGGGCTCAGCGACGGGATCGGCCGGCGCCGCGGGCTCGGGGATGGCCCGCGGCCCGCGCCCGACTAACGGCCGTAACGGAAGCGCCGAAGGGGCGGGGGACTGAGTCCAGCGCCCGGGGGCGGGGCGGATCGCGAGGCCGGCTCCCTCCCGCGCTCCGCCGGCCGCACTGTCGCCGCCGCCGCCGCCTCAAACCGCGGACGCTTCGTTGTCACGAGCCCGAGGGAGGGGGAAGGAGCCGGGAGTCTCCAGGCTCCGGCGCGGGGAGACCGCGGCACTCTAGTCACGTGCCTCCCTTCCGACCAATGACCGTGGGCAGGCGCGGTGACGTCAGAGCAGCGGCGTGGCCGATGACAGCCGGCCCCGTCACGTGGTCGGGCCGACTCCAATGGGCGGCGCCGCGGCGACCTGAAGTTCCCGGCGGCCCGTGCGGCGGCGGTGGTTGGGTGGTAAGATGGCGGCTGTGAGTCTGCGGCTCGGCGACTTGGTGTGGTAAGTCCGGGCGGCTGGGGCCAAGCGAGATGCGCCACGGAGTGGCCTCCCGGGGCGCGAGATTTGCGGCCAGCCTCGGAGCTGCCCTTCTGCGCAGTCCAGACGGCGGAGGGAGAGAAAGACGGGGTGCTGGCGCTGCGAACGACGCTGGGCGGAAGGGGCAGTCCGGCCCCGAGGGACCGAGGCCGAGGGTGGCCGCGGCGGGCCCGGCTCTGAGCCCCGAGGCCGCCCCGGGGTGGGCCGCGCTTGGAGCCGAGCGACCGGCAGAGGTAGCCCCCTGGCGCCGCGCGGCTCCCGAGGACACTGTGTCCCCGGGGTCTTGCTGGGGCTCCAGGGAGAGGGGAGAGCCAGGGAACCCGCGGGGCCATCTCGCCGGGGCAGGCGGTTCAAGTCCCGCGTTGTGACGAGACCTTCCAGTGCGGGCGGCTCGGCCCGGGGTGTCGAAACCGATTGCTGGCGCTGCCCAGTGAGGAAATGGACAGGGGACTTCTCCTTTACAACCGATGGCTTGGTAGTGACCGGTGCCTCTCGTGGTCTGCTTCTGTGTCCCCGACAACCGCCCGAACCAAGACTGACCGTGGTCGCCCTGCTCGAGCTGCCTACTTTGTGTGGACCCGGAGACCGGCTCCCGCGGGCGGTTGTCAGAGCCGGCTGTGTGCCTGGGGAATGGGGGCACGTCCGTGTGGACGGAGAAACCGCCCCAGCCCGGCACCGGAGGGCACAGGAGGCTCCCCTCGAGCCGCTCCCGACGGTTTGGGTGTTCAGTGTTCCTTGTCTGCCCGAGAAGGCACGGGACACACACACACACACACACACACACACACACACACACACACACACACGGTGTTTCATTCCGGGTCCGGGGTCTCGGCCCAGCTGTGAAGCCAGATTAAGAACCCTGGTTTGCCGGCTTTTGTCTGGCACTTGAGGATGCCAGCCGAGATTGAGAAGCATAAATTGCGTGTTGAGTGGCTTGAAGGAGAGGGACTGGCTTTTCCAGAGCAAGTGCTGACTCTTTGTGTTTTCTCTAGGGGGAAACTCGGCCGGTATCCTCCTTGGCCGGGAAAGGTGAGTGTTTTGCTCTTCAAAGGATGATATCTAAAGTTGGGTTTGAGGAGGTGGAAAATGTAAAGTGCATTTCCCTCAGTTTCTAACACTGAGTGAAACTGGGCCCATTCAGATAACACTCATATTCTGTAGTTTCAGTTATTTTTTAAAAAGGCAATACAATATGAACCAGATCATTTAATCTGCAGTAATTGCTTATTTCTTGAATCAGAGTTAGTTTATGAAATTTGTTGTTAACCCTGGGAATCAATTCTAATTTCAGCATATTTTAGATTTATGCTGAAATCTAACAAAAGAAGAAAATAAATTCTCCAGGAAGAGAGAAGTCTAAATGTAGGTTAGTGAAAAGCCAAAGTATTTTTGTCCCGACTAAGTTTAAATCTTCTTCCCCTGTTACCATATGTGCTGCTCCAGTGCATCTTTGCAGAAGTTGGCATTCCACATTTTGCATGAGGTGATCCATCATAGCTTTCCAAGTGTTCTGTTTTTATATTCTTGCTTGGAATCCAGGAAATGTCTTTAGACTTTGCAATATGGTGTTTTCTGTGCCTCAGTTGTTCTTTATTTTCACCATTTCATGTTTCAACTCTTTGTGCACCAGAAGTATTTTGAAGAATATTTCTTCGGTAATGACATTGACACATTGAGGGGAAGTGATATTGATCTTAGTTTTAACTGCTTGTATAACAGAGCCATTGCAGTAAAAGGGATATTGTATCCACTGAGCAATGCTACATGTTAGCTACAGGGAATTTCCAGAATATTTGTACATTTCCACATATCTCAACTGGAAAGTGCCAGAGATGAACAAGTTCTAGGCCTTATATTCCTATTCTTTCCCCATGCCCCTTTAACAACTTAGAGCTGTAGAAACTTTTCTAGTGGGGTGCCATATTGCTATCAAGTCTTTTTTTTTTTTTTTTCCCCTTTTATTCTCTAGATTGTTAATCCACCCAAGGACTTGAAGAAACCACGTGGAAAGAAATGCTTCTTTGTGAAGTTTTTTGGAACAGAAGATCAGTGAGTGGTATTCATCAAGTATTCATGTTGTCGTTGTCTTTGGGCATTTCCCTGAGTCTGAACTGCCAAAAGAATATTCTGAGGATCCTTAGTTCAGGCTTCTTGTAGTACATAAGAATGGCACATCATCTGGCTTCATGCCTAAATAAAATGTGCTGTTCTCATCTTGCAGAAATTGTCCTGGGGCCAAAAGCAGTGTCAGGTAAGAACTAGGCTTCATGATCAGAAGTAAGAACTTCTGCTTAAGATAGTTTCTCACATCTTTCTTTACCAACTCCATTGGCACTTCCTTTTTTTTAATATTTATTTTTTAGTTTTAGGTGGATACTATATCTTTTTTTTAATATCTTTATTAATTTATTTTTATATGGTACTGAGGATTGAACCCACTGCCTCACACATGCAAGCCAAGCGCTCTACCACTGAGCTACAGCCCCAGTCCCAGACACTATATCTTTATTTTTATGTGGTACTGAGGATCAAACCCAGTGCCTTATGCATGCTAGGTGAGCACTCTACCACTGAGCCACAACCCCAGCCCCTGCAGTTTCTTCTATAAGAGCCATGTTTGCTTCTCTTTTAGTGGGCATTAAAATTTATTCATGAAGTCTATAGTGAAAGCTAAAATTTCAGTTATCTTAATAAATGTACTTGTTTAATTTTTTTTCTCTTTTGCAGTAGTAATACTCTGACATTTTAATAGTAAAGCTCAAGTAAAGGGATCCAGGACCATTAATTGTAGATTCTTTGGCTTAAGGTCATATAAGAAGTCACACTGAAGGGAACAATGTGTATTAACTTGAATTTCCAGCAATTTTTTTTAGTTTTGTCAACACTACATCAAGTTGATTATCTGTATCTAGCTAGTTTGCTTGATTTTTTATTTTTTTTAAGTAGTTGTATTTCTATTTGATTCTTACAGGAAAATGTAACTTTGGGTTTGAAAAAAAAGGTCTGACTTTTCTGATAAATCTGACACTGATGGTTAAAATATTTATTCTTAGAAAACAATATATAATATTACATATGAAAATTCCTTATGAACAGTATGCTTTCCTCATTCAGGAGTTTATACATCAGTGCTCTTCCGGGTTTCACATTTGCCTAGTTTGTTGACCTTCATGATACTGATAAACTCCGCCCCCAGTTCTCTGTCACAAACCAATTTACCAGCCTTCTGGTGGCAGTATTTCCAGGAGTTACTAGCCTTGAGCTGTGAGAGGAGAACCTGTGAAAGAGGGAAAATTCTAATTCCCTAAAGAAGAGTGTCCTGGTGAGATTGACACTGAAGGAACTCCAAGGAAAGTGAATGTTGTGGTCCCTGCCTTTCAGATGCTTGGTTGTGACAAGACTTAAATAGTTCAGATAAAATTATGTGCAGAGTTAGTGATGCAGGTAATTATGAAAGGCTTCTGGAAGAGGGAGAGGTCAGTAGGAAACAGTGAGGTCCAGGAAGACTGATGGAAGAAACAAGCCACAAATCCAGTTCTGTAGGATGAATAGTGTTTGGGTGGGCAGAAACAACAAGGGTAGTTCAGGCAGTGGAGATACTGCTAAGCTGACTGGCCTGAGAAGGAAGAAGCTCCCTGCCTAGGGTAACTGGAGCTTGGGAGTAATTGAGGCAATATACTTGGCTAAATCTGGTTGACTCAATGAAGAATTACATGTTTCTGAAACAAAATGGGAACTCAGCCAGATTATAGAGGACCTGCAAGCCATGATTTGATAATTTTTTTATTGTTGAAATGCTAGATGAATAAACTACAATCCCTATGTAAGAAATGAAACCTAGGAAATTGGAGTTGAGTGAACTTGAATGCTCAGCCAAGCACACAGGTGCAGCCAGTAACAAAGGATGTGCACACTGAACACAAACAACCTGCTACTAATGACAGTGATATGAGTTCTAAGTTCATGACTAGGGCTCTTTGGAGAGTTCGTAAGCAAATGGATATAGGCAACTGCTAGGTGTAATAACCTTAACCTTTTAAACTCCCTTGATGGAGCTCTACATAAAAAGCTACTTAAGGCTGAGCATGATGGCACACACCTTAATTCCAATGACCTAGAGACTGAGGCAGGAGGATTGCAAGTTCAAGGCCAGCCTCAGCAACTTAGCAAGACCCTGTCTCAGAAAAATGTAAAAGGGCTGTGGGTGTAGCTCAGTGGTAGAGTGTATGTTTAACATGAAGCCCTGGGTTCAGTCCCTTGCACCACCACACCCCAAAAAATATATATTTAAAAATTAAGATAACTGTGGGACTTTTAATAGGAAGACAGTTAACTTGGAGAAACAAAAGGTAAGGATTTAGAGAAATGCTTCCTTAATGATCAGTGTTAAGGCAGATCTTATTTAGTATCTTCATAATATCAGAAGGTAAGATATCCAGATTGTCTGGTGGCAGCAAATTGCTTTGAGGAAAGAACTCAGGATTTGTCACCAGCCTAAAATGCATTCAGACCCTGGTCTCACCTACTCTGTGATCTGGGCAAGCTGATTTACCTTCCTAAGCCATTGTGTCTGGTGTGGTTTGGTAGATAGCAGGTGTTCAGCAACATCACGTCAGGATATAGATCTATTACAGGACAGAAAAAAAGATGGTAAGAAGAAGCAGACAAGTGGATGTAAGAAAAATGTGAGACACAGATTATGCTCCTGAGAGCAAGTGAGTATGTGTATATATATGTTTGAAAAGAAAGGAAGCTGAGTGGGCAATTCCTAAAGAAGTTATCCAGGTATGCTTTTCTGACCAAAAAGGCTTTGAACATGAAATAATGTATTGCTCCACCTTTATGTAAAACTATAGTGTGCCTCTCCAGGAATACCATGTGCTGTTCAGTTTGTGCTTCCATGGGGATCTGATAGAACTAGTGAAGATCCAGACAAAGGGACCTAGCAGACAAAAGAGTAGGACTCTTCAATATGGGAAAGCAGAGACTGAAAACAGCATGATCGGAACATTTGAACCAGTGGATGGCCTTTAGGAGTTGACACTGCACGTGGAATATTGTGTGACTATGCTCAGGACAAATACAGAGAGTCACTTCAAGGTAATACAGGTAGTATAAGTGGATTTTTAGGGATGAGAACTGATGTTTGAAGGACAAAGCTCTAAGTGGCTGTGGTAGAGGCTGGACTTTACCCTTAACACTTCATGTGGGAGGGGATGAGTGTGGCCTATCCTGCAGTAGGGGCTCCATTGATTCCTCCACCCTCACCACCTGACCCCGTGGTATTCCTAAGAAATATAGTATTCAGTCAGAGATACTCAGTTTCAAAATTAACACACTACTTATGGGATAAAATATGTAACTAGAATTCTTCTGGCAAGGACTTTTGTTAAGAATAAAGTGATTAGCTCTGGGGCTGGGGTTGTGGCTCAGCGATAGAGTGCTTGCCTAGCATGCTTGCCTAGCATGTGCAAGGCCCTGGGTTTGATCCTCACACCACATAAAAATAAATAAAATAAAGGTATTGTGTCCAACTACAACTAAAAAATAAACGTTTAAAAAAACATGGTTAGCCCCTTGCAACAATATATAGGGTGATTCTAATACTTTTAGAATCCCGAATTTTCTTTCTCAACTATAACTTCTCACAAATTGTGTGGGCATCCCACTGTGAGGAAGAGAGAGCCAGACCTGCCTGATCAGATGTCACTGGTGAGGACAGAACTTACTAAGATGGCTGAGTTCACTTGCCAAGCCACATAGCCAAAACAATTGCCCGTGATCATTTAAAGAACCATTTTCATGTAAATACAAAGGGGAAAAATCACCTTATTATAGCATTGCTAGTTCCACCATGTGACCACAACCAAATATTAAGCATCAAATGTATGAGAGTCAACCTTGGACAGTTTGATGGGTGATGGTCACCCATCAAAGAAGAGATACCTCAGAATTTAAAAAGTTTCATCAGTGGCAGTGGATCGCACAACAGAGAGTGTGTTAGTTTAGTTTGCAGGTCCTTAGAAGTTACCAGAAACAAACCAATTCAAAAATACCATTGACAAATAGTAGGTACCTTGCAAACTACCTCAGAGTTCCCATAGCAATCTTCACTTCTGATCTTTATTGCTGCCCTTTTAGGAAATGGATGGATTTGTCTTGGTTCTTCTCCCCACCCTGCCTGATGAGGAAACTGAGAGGCCAGGGGGTTGCCGGTTTTAGTGATAAGATGTCCAGGATTCCAGCCTGAGGTGCTTTGTACATCAAGCCACATCTAAGGTGGGATAGGCCTGGCCGAGTGTGAGGTATCTGAGTCAATACTACAAGTAACTCTTCTAGAAACAGATATCTGAGTTAATGCTGAGAAGCCTAACAGTTGGAACCATGCAGGCATCCCTTTTCACCTGGAACCAACTAGCCTACTTTCCCTACATCTAGCACCATGTAACAGTTGGAGAGTTGAGGCAAGTGGATAGTGAGGGCCACTGTTCTAGATTCAGACAGCAGTGTCCCCATGCCAGGGCACAAATGCTCTTCTATAGGGTGTCAGTTAGCTGCTGCTGTCCCAGCAGCAGCAGGAGCAGTTCCTGGCCTACTGGGGACTTCATGGATAAGCATGTGTCATATGATGGAATTTTAGAAACTGGCCCAAAAAGAAATTGCCAGTCATTTATGAATGTAGGCAGTATAACCTAAAATTCTCATCCAGCATTTGGGAATGTTTTCAGGGTTCTGAAACAAGGTCTTATCTATATAAGTCTTTGTTAATGTCTTTAAGATTACATTTGCTTGAAGTTAACTGAGGAATTCCTCATTTTCTGTGCATATTTTCTGATGCCTGTATTTCTGGATAGTTTAGATTTGGACCTATAACACCACAGTAATCCCCAGTCTTTTAATTATTTTTTTAAAAAGACATAAAAGAAATTGCTTATTGAGTACTACTCACAAATCCATATGAAGAAGGGAACCCATATTCTTCTGACCCTGTCCTTGTAATTTCCTTTGGATTTTGTGCCCCATGTTCATTTTCTTTTTCTCACTGTGTCCATGTCATCCCCCCACACCCCTCCACCCAGCTTCAAGATTTCAGTACGGGTCATTGTGTCAAGATGAAGGTTAAGTCACATGTGAGAATCTTTGAGATTCGTCATAGACTGACATCTCTAATACAACATCTATGTACATGATTTTCATTTAAGGGAAGAGCAGATCAGAGTGTTTGAAAATGCTAGTTTTTATATTCGTTGGTAAGTTTTGAATGTGAAGGAACTTTTTAGGACACCAGTTTGAGTTGGCTGCTCTGGGATGCATTATGTGCAATTACATCAGCTAGGCAGGAGCTCCCCTCCAGAGCAAGTCTCCAAATCATAGGGAACATCTGGAGTTGGAATAGCCCAAGTTCTACACAGGATCCTTTAGTACAAATTTGATGGGTTTTGTTTGTTTTGTAGTGCTGGGGATTAAACCAGGGTCTCATGCATGCTAGGCAAACACTCTAGCACTGAACTACATCTCCAGCCCCTGACTTGTTTTTTATGTATAATACAGATTTATGGTTCCAAAAAAAAAAAAATTAAGCAGTAAACAAGAAGGCAGATCCAATCATCCCCATCCCTCAGCTGCCCAGATAGATAGTGTTTCCTGTGTCATGTCCCTCCAGAGAGATGGGTGAGGCATTGAGAAGTTGTGTGTATTCATTTTTTTCATCTTCACATGAGTGGTTGCAAGCTACACACATTGCTTTTCTTGCCTTTTCCCTTTAGATAGTTTAAGGGGCCTTCCTTTTCCTTCTCTGTAATGGCCTCTCAATTAATAGTTACTTTTTTTTTAGTTGCTTACTACCACAAGCAAAGTATAATTACTGCCTTCTACATAAAAGCAAATCCTCACACTTTAGACAACCTGGTAAGTTTGTTCTTTCTGATTTCCCAGCCCACAGCAAATTAGACTGAAAAGGTAAAGCTCCGCCCAGGCATTGGGAGGAGCATATGAGGAAAATCACAAGTTTCAGCTTATTACAAGGAAAGAAACTGAATAGTCTTTTTTTTAAGTCTGGGAGTGTAGCTCAGTGGTAGAGCACGATAAGCATGAACCAAGCCCTTGGTTCTATGCCCAACACAGGGAGAAGGGGGGTGAGGAATCATTTAAAAACCAACAACAAAACAAATGCTAAAGCCTTACCAAGTGAGCCTTCCAGCACCTTTTAACCCATTGATAGGGGACCACCCCGCCACATGCCTGGAAGGCATCAATGATTATTTATTGATTGCCTCTGAATCAGAGGGGTGCTCTGCTAAAGTTCTAGCTGGAAAGCACATCCACTTTAAAAAGAGGGAGGTTTTGTGGTATAGCCTTTAGAGAAAAAGTCTACCAAAGTGATTTAAGCTGGGTTCACTTAAGAGGTAATCCTAGGAGCAGCTGAGCTGGTGTTTGACTTTCTGATGCCCCAGGATGCCTCTCCAACAATAGGTCAATTTCCTAAGTTTATTAATGTTTCTTGCCTTTATCCTTTTGAAGTCTTTTTTGTAAGTCTTATTTGGACTGTTTAGAAAATTATTTTATAATTTCAAAGATGATTGTAGAGAGGAAAATTTCATTGTAGTATCTCAAATTCCTATCTTGAGGGTAAATGGAATTTTGAGTGTACTTGCTTCTGGCAAAAATCAGTAATCCATTTAAAATGCTTCAACAGAAAAAATGGGGGGGGGGTGTTGATTTATTGGTTCTTCCTCCATAGATGTCCTTGCCTTTGCATTTTCTCTGATTCAGAGATTGATGCAAGGCTGGGTAGGAGGTGGTGATGGCAGTAGCAGGAAGGAGTAGGTGGGATTAAAGCTCTTGGAGCCTGTTTTCCCAGCTCCACAAAAACCACCTTGTTGATCTTTTCCTGGAAACTTGTACAGGTCTCATCTACCCTGCAGCTCCTAGGAGGGTGATGTGGGTCCTGAATGCCATGGCTCTTAAACTTCATCCTGATACCACACAGTTAATATAGCAGCTTAACTGACTTTGCATCTGATTGCTCCAGCCTGTCCTTACAGTCAACTGTAAATGCAGGGAGAGGCAGGGGAGTCAGTTCAAAAAATAAGGGGTAAGATCTCCTTTCTTCTCCCTGGGATTGGACTCATTGACTTTCTTGTGTCAAATTGCAGACTTTAAGCTGAGTTAGTCCCTGGGAAGCATCTGTTCTATGAGGCCAGAGCTCTGTGTCCCTGTGAATTGTTTGGATTAGCTATAGAGGAATTGTCTCACTCTCATTTGGTGACTTGCATTTGCAGGCTGGCAGCCCAGGGCTGTCATGTCGTTCTGACCCACCATCATGGCTTTTACACAACACCCAAAGTACAAGTGGCTATTGTGGGTTGTAGCATTATTTCTGTATACAGAAGTTTGCACTTTCAATATTAGTGCATATCCTCCAGCCTTCTCTAAGGAAAGAACGTTTGAGTAGTGAGATAGCCCAGTTTCTACATCCTTAGCCTGACCCATTTTTTTCTGAAGGTTACACTATGACACTGATGAGTATTGCAAGATAAAACATATGTTAATTAACTGATATGTTGCCCAGCCTATAAATTCTCTTTTATATTTGAATTTTCTAAGCCAAATGTCATTCAGGGAAACCACAGAAAGCCAGTTGTTGCAAACTCACTCAGGTTAGTGTGGTAGGCCAGGTATTCCAGAATTGATGACTCGCTACTTTTTTCAGTTTGAATGTTACATGTTGATGTTAGAAATTAAAAATTAGATATCAGAGGAATGCATTCTACCTTGACTTTCAAGAACAATCTCATTAGTAAAGGCCTCCTTTTGTAACTGCTGCCCTCATCCCAAACCATGTTTTGTGTGGTTTAGTAGCCATGGATACCATCATTTATGATCAAATATAGGCTCAGCAACTGCAAATATCTGTAAGAGCCACCAACTTTAGAAGGTGCTGGATTTCTTTATCTCTGACCACATCCCTGACTCTTGGTTGATGGGCAGAACATAAATCTGGCTCAAGTTGTTGACAGGCAGCAAGTGTTTTCTTACACACTTACACTGCCATGGTTTATGATGCTTCCAGGGACTCTGATTACCAGGGATGCATGTGTGGCTTTTGTGCTGAACAGTGAGACCATCTCCAACTTTCTCTTGTTCTGAGCAAGTGGCTGGGTATGTGTGGTTGAATGTTGAAGCTAGTAAATGAGAATAGAAACAATAGTGTATAACATACAATTTCATGTGAGGTATGTTCTGATTTGTTATAGAGGCTGCTGTGGTGGTTTTCGTTTACTTATTTCAAGAAAATATACTATAGCCTCAAAAGTTTGGGATGGTTGAGTACATGTTTTTTAAAAATCCCTTTTTGAATTTCAAGCCTTTTTGAAATTCCAGTTAAACCAAATGGATGTTTGCATTCTGCTCTAGTGAGATCTTTGGTAGTTTTCAGCATTCACAGTATGGATCACATACCCTTTCTCTGTTTTCTGCTAGTGCCTGGATCAAAGTGGAACAGCTAAAGCCATATCATGCTCATAAAGAGGAAATGATAAAGATCAACAAGGGTAAACGATTCCAGCAAGCTGTGGATGCTGTTGAAGAGTTCCTCAGGAGAGCCAAAGGGAAAGACCAGGTGAGAGAAATTCCAATTTTCCCTTTTACACTAGGCCTGTTATTTTGCATAGTTACTAGAAGATTAAATGTCACCCAGTCCCACAACTCTATTCAGAGATGCCTGGAGAAGGCAATACTTCAGTTTTAAGGTATTAGCCTTTGGCTCATCAGCTTGCAACTCCGTGCCTGTGGCTCACCTTCCAGAGTAGCTTGTTGTTGGGGAAGTTTTGTGGACCAAGAGGAATAGCTTAGCTTTCAAGTGCAGCACAGAGCATAGGGGCATAGCCTCTGGATATGTACCCTTGATTTTAAACCCCACCTCCTAGCTTTGGCACTGTGGACAAGTGACTCAGTTCTTTTTTTTTTTTTTTTAATCTACTTCCCCCAATGTAACTGGGGGTGACCAAGGAACCTGTGTCATAGGGTGGCTGTGAGGATGATTCACAGAAGTGCCTGTAGCAGTGCGCGGCACCTGTTGGTGGCAGCAGCAGCTGTTGTGTGGCTATCATTATTATTATTAAACTTTCAGACATCATCCCACACCTCTGCTGATGACAAGAGTCGGCGTAATTCCAGTGAGGAGAGGAGTAGGCCAAACTCAGGTGACGAGAAGCGCAAACTTAGCCTGTCTGAAGGGAAGGTGAAGAAGAACGTGGGAGAAGGAAAGAAGAGGGTGTCTTCAGGCTCTGCAGAGAGAGGCTCCAAACCCCCTCTGAAAAGAGCCCAAGAGCAAAGTCCCCGGAAACGGGGTCGGCCCCCAAAGGATGAGAAGGTTTGTCTTACCACCGTAGCTTCTGGATTTAGTGACCTCCTTGTGTGTAAGGTAGAGCTGGACCATGCAGCATGCTTCTGCTCACCAGTGGTGTGGAGTCCTGTCCTGAGTGCTGCCTTGAAGAAGCCCGCAGCCCAGATGAAAGATGGACGAACAGGCCTGAGTCCACCTGAGCCAGTGTACACAGGCTGGCTGGGAAGGGCTAGTGACAAAGGGAGAAGATGCCCCAGAGGTGATGGCGTGGATGTCTTGGTACAGTGGAGGACAGTTAGGCAAGCAGAGATGGGGGCAAGTGTTCAGTAGATTGTGGAGGGCCTGTGGTCTTCTTAAGCAGGGGACCCCGTGCAGCTAAGTGAAGGTGGCAGTGTGCGCCACGCATTACAGGTTCGAAGCCAGGTACACATTCGTGAGGGGCAATAGTAAGTCTTAAAAAAGAGTATGCTCAAGGTTCAATGGAGGAAGCCTCCCTACAATTTGGCAACCAGTTGTATAAAGGATGAATGTGAAAAGGGAGAAGAAGGTAATTGTCAGCTTCGCTTCTGAGAAAATAGTGATAAGATCCTTACACACAGAGGAGTCAGGAGATGGAGCTGGCCCTCCAGGAAAGAAAAGAGGGCAGTTCCATGTTGGATTGGGGTTTTTGATTTGTTTATTGTTATGCTAGGTATTGAACCCAGGACCTCACACAGGCTAGGCAAGTGCTGTACCACTGAGCCACACCCCAGCCCCTAGTTCTATTCTGAATGGAATGAATTTGAGGTGCAGTCTAGATAGGACTAGACATGTAGGCTTGGGAGGCAGCCCTGGAGGAAGGATGATTGACTTCATGAGACTGGATGAGCTCGCCTTGGGAAAATGAGAAAGAAAGGCATAGGCTGCTCTGCAGGGAGAAGATGTGGTCTGCGATGGTAGCATCTGAGGCGCCAGCAGGGTAAAATCAGTGGGAATGTTGTGTCTTTCTCATTCTCGCTGACAAAACGTAGATCCAGTCTCTGAAGCCCAGGGAGAATATCTAGATGAAGGGTTCTCTCACACAGGAGAACTGTCGGCAGTGGGATAGAAGAAACAGAACCCAAATGACCAGCAGGAACAGTGGGTGACCAGACCACTAGACATCAGAGCGTGGTTGGCAGATTCAAACACCAGTAAGGCCAGGCAGGCAGTGAGAGCAAGAGAAGCTGCCTGATTGGAAGAAGAAATGTTCGAAATGCAGGGAGAGCAAGTTGGGAGGCTGAGGCAGAAGGATCACAATTCCAGGCCAGAGTCAGCAACTTAGCAAAGCCCTAAGCAACATTAGGGAGACCCTGTTTCAAAATAAAAAGTAAAAGGGGCTGGGAATATAGGTCTGTGGTAGAGCTCTTGCCTAGCATGTGTGAAGCACTGTGTTCGATCCTGAGCACCATATAAAAATAAATTAAAAATAAACGTATTTAAAACAAAAAACAGCACTTTTTGGGTCCAAAGGAGCATCTCTGTGGCTGCCACTGTGTATGTAGTCTCTGTTTAGAGACAGTCTGTCTCACTGTTAAATGGCCTAAAACAATAGGAAAGCCCTTTCCCCAGTGACCATGAGCCAGGAGGTGGAGAAAACTGCCAATTGCAGTATGCAGGACACTTCAAGGGAGTGTGATCTAATCACAGTAGGTGTCATGTGGCTTTTGAGTTGTCTTCCCAGGGATCCAGAAGGAATCTGGGCTGTCAGGTTTTATCCTGTTTTTCACATTCCATATTGTTCTAAAGCAAGTATCTCATCAACTCCTATGTCACCATGGAGAGAATTGGCTTCTTTTTGTATAAGGGTATGTATAGCGAGAGATTAGGACTAAGGCCCTGAGATGAATTGTGGCCCTGTGACTTCCTATAGCTGCATGACCTTGGCCAGTTCCTTTGCCTCAGTTTCCTCATCTGGTCATTATTGTGAGAATTCAGTGAGTCAGTGGCCGAGCCCTAAGCAGTATATGGCTTACTGGGCATCTGACCATGGCTTTGTGTTGGTATTTCAAAGGTGGGAGATGGTTGTGCGCTGAGAGCTTGGTGGTGGCTTTAGTGCAGCCAGAGGCCCCTGCCCAGGCCGCCTTCTAAAGGCTTTCCCCAGGCCCCCAGTACAAAGGCATTTTTCTCAGGGCTGAGTTGGTCATCTGGAGGGTAATAACATTTAGTCATATTTCAGTCCAGGGGCTCTCCCTGCTGTTGACCCTTTTCAGTGTCCTTTCTGCATAGCCTTTGTGCTTGGCCTAGCCTGTGGTGCAAGGATGTGTTCTGAGGACGGGGTGAATGTGGGGAGAGGCACAGGTCAGACAGCAGTCTCAGCTCAGCATCTTCAGACGCACAGGGGAGCTGTGCCAGGGCACTGGTATTTTGATGCATTCTTCCAACCTGATCTGTTCAGTAGCCTCAAAAGAGTGTGTGTATTTTGCCATAGTAGTTGTCATTTGACTGGCAAGCTCCTCTCAGAAATAGAGCAGAGCACAGGCTGATAGCTGGGCAGAAACACAGGTGAGTCATTCCAGGCATCATCTCCTGCCCCATAGGTAATATTTCAAAAGGTTGACCTGGATCTGGGAGATTACATGCCGGCAGGCCAGGCTGGATGTGGGCAATGTCTAGACTTCTGTTGGTGAGTGTGCTGGGCAGTGTGCTCCCATGCTCTTGCTAGGGTCCTTCTTTCCTAGTCCTAAGCTGAGAGCAACAGCTGTGGGCACCAACCAGCACAACAGAAGTAGTGTGGCCAAGCCTGTGGCTCTCCTAATATTTCAAACTCATGCAAAGACCAACAATTTGGGAATTGTACTTCATGCTGGACCCAGAGCTATGTTCATCTTGCTCCCATACCATCTTCCCTAGAGTTGCACGGTCCTTAGCCATGTGTGACCATTGAAGGGTTCTCTCACAGGAGAACTGTCAGCATGTAAATTATACAGAGTATGATTTAAAATTCAGTTTCTTGGTTACTCCTCAGTTGTGCTAGGCTGGTATCAGGTACGCCATATGACACATGATTAGAGGCTTCTGTGTTAAAAAGCACAGATATCCAGCATGGCCTTCGTTGCAGAAAATTCTTCTGGCCAGCACTGCCCTGGGTCTTTTATTTCTCCTCAAAGCCTCATTATTCACCAAATGTGTATTGAGCAGCTCCCCCACGAGCCAGCCGTCTGGAAGGAAAGCAGTGTGACACAGACGAGGCCCCTCACTTCTTCAATAAGTATTGAATCTCAACTATGTGCCAGACTTGGTTTCTGGCATAGGGTAGAGAATGAACAAAACTGGCAAACTTCTTGCTTTTCTAGAATATACTTTTAATAGCACAAGCCCTACAGCCAATTTCCTGAGTTTAAATTTGATCTACTGCACTAATGGCTAGCTCAGTGACCTTAGCCAAGGCTATTTAAACTCTCCACATCTCCATTTTCTCTTCCATAAAATGAAGGTGATAGCAGTTCTCTGTCATGAGGTGACAGGGGTTATGTGAGACCATGCATATAGCACATAGGAAGCCCTATGGAAGCATGCTGTTATTAGGGTCAGAATCGACATTCCAGTGGGGGAAATACAGGTAGGTCAGGTAGAGCCTTTCTGATCAGGGACATTTCAGCAGAGACGTAGCCTGTGAACCAAGCAGACATCTGTTGGAAAATATTCCCAGCAGTGCAAAGGCACTGAGGCAGGTGCATACTTGATACATTTGGGGAAGGGGTATAGCCAGTGGAGTGCTGGTGGGTGAGCAACTGTTGAGGGAGAGAAAAGAATTGGGACTCAAGGTTAGAGATTATCCTGTGGCTGGTATTACAGACCACATAGAACCCTCCCTATAGGTTGCCATAAGAAAGTGTAGGCTGTGCTGTGTGAGGTGGGAAGCTGGTATTCAGCAGAGAAGTGCCGTGGACTGACTCAATTTTAAAAAAGATTGTCCGGCTGCTGTGCAGTTTTAGACTGTGGAGACTCAGAATGGAAGCAGGGAAATTTGTCTTGTAACCAGTCAAGTAACTGGTGGTGATGGCCAGAGTTTGGGAGTTATCAGTGAGGATGGTGAGGGGCCGGGTAGATAGCCAGCTATAAAGCAGCAGTCGTTGCTGGTGGGTCAAAGAGGGAAGAACCAAGAAGGACTGCCAGAGGCCTTGGCCTGGTGGATCAGTGGAAAAAGAAGTGTGGGCCGGGGAGCTGGAGAGTTCCTGGGGCACATCCAGATTCACATTGGCACCCAGATGGACAAGTCAGGAGAGCACAGGGGTGGAAAGGGAGGAGGTACGAGGTAACACTGAGCAGGAGGGAGAGGCTGAATGGGCTGTAAAGCTGAAACAGTGACCTTTTGCCCAGGAGGAATGGGCACCAGGCAGTGTAGAAGAGGAGTAGCTCCAGGGTGACTACCCTGGGTGTGTTCTAGTTTCACCATGTCGCAGCTATAAAGTTTGCACAGTCTGCCTCACCCGCAGCTTTTTTTTTTTTTTAAGATATGGGGGTTCCTTCTGAAGTCACTACTGTTTCTTAATGGTCATTTAATATTCATTATTGCTATAAGGAACTTTTCCTATGACTTTGCTGGCAACACTGCAGGCCATATCAGGCTTTCTGATTACCTCCTTCCTTGTGAAATGTAGGCACAAGAACACATTTTATCATTTCAGGAGTGGAGAAGAAAGGCTCACTTTGTGTCTGCCAGAAAAGCATGCTGTGTTTCTCCAGAGGAACAGTCTTCAGAATCTTGCCTGGGGATGGGCTTAAACTTAAATGTAGACCATGGGCTTGCCAGGGCTTAGCTCAGGGCTGAATGTGACCAAAAGGAAGCAAAGTGTCCTGATGCTCTGTCTTTCCTCTATAGGACCTCACCATCCCTGAGTCTAGTACCGTGAAGGGAATGATGGCTGGACCGATGGCCGCGTTTAAATGGCAGCCGACTGCAAGCGAGGTAAAGAGCTCTCCTGTGTCCCATTGCCATGTCAGCAGGTTTCCTGGCACTACTGAGATTCTCTTTCCTCCCCACCACCCCCCCTTTTTTTAATTATTGTTGTTGTCTTTGTTTAATGGCAAAACAGTAGAGAAGTCCATTAGGTAAAAAGGAAAACCCTGACCTTTGGTGTGTGCATTACATTTGAAGTAACTGATTCTCAGCATTGGTCTGCTCCCTCCGCCACCAAAGGGGGATCATTCCGCACATTTTTTTTTTTTTTTTTTACTTTATATTTTATAAACATCCTCTCATTGTCCATAAATACAACTCTTGATTCAAGTTTAATAGCCTGTGATTTTATGACTGGTATTGCTCCACCTGCTGCTGGGACTGTTGTGAGCAGCTGTGGAGGTCTGTATTTGTAGCTACTCTGTTCCTGTGTCAGAATCTACACATGGGAAGATGAGCCCTCAAGGGTCTGGCCTCAGACACAGGAAGGCCAAACTCCCAAACTGGAAGAGTCCTAGGAATCACTGAGGCCTAGCCTACTGGGTTGTCTGAGTGCCTCATGAATATTGAACACTGAAATACCAGTGTGCTTGTTTAATATTTTCCCACAGTGTTACTGGAATAATTTGTATACCAACCTGGCAAAAACAGATGTCCTTCTCCACTTGAAGCTAGTTTTCCCCTGGGTAGGACGGTAGTCTTTTCTTTATAACAGGCTTAGGTCAAAAGTGGGAAGAATTTCTAGATAGCTGTGAAAGGGACTAGATCAGAGGCACTGCAGCTGAATAGAGTCCAGGTCCAGGTAGGAGGAAGTACCCTTTGGTGGAAGGTAGCTTGCTTAAAATTGATTGTCTTCTGGTTTCAGCCTGTCAAAGATGCAGATCCTCATTTCCATCATTTCCTGCTGAGCCAGACAGAGAAGGTGAGTGGCCATGTGAGGTGCCCAGCCCTTCTTTGGGGGCCATCCTCCTGGGGAATACACTCAACTGGGACCTCTTGACCAGTGTGAAATTTAGGCTCTGGCCTAACCCAGAGCAACTGGCAAAAAATCACAGTGTAGGTCCATGAGGAAGTCATGTGATGCTGAGATTAAAAATAAACCAGAATAGGACTGGGCTGGGGCTCAGTGGTAGAGCACTTGCCCAGCAAATATGAGGGCCCTGGGTTTGATCCTCAGCACCACATAAATAAATAAAATAAGGGTATTGTGTCTAGCTACAACTAAAAAAAAAAAAAAATGTTTTAAAGAGTAAAAAATAAACCATAATAAAGCTTTTCAAACTTGGCCAGCTGTATGGTAGAGATTGATTCAGAGTCACCTTTAGAGGCCAGGGAGAAGCCAAGTATTGCAAGCTGTCCACCTCTGTGCAGCAGCCTGTGTTGCCTGGGAGACAGTCCTCTGGTCTTTCCCACATTCTGCAAAGCCATGGATTAGGCTGGTCCTTGCTAGGATGATAGTGTATAGATTTTTAGTTGGACAGGTATGAGTTCCAAGCACAGTCACACTGACCAGCTCAGTAAGTCTGGGCACAAGACTACACGATCTCTGATTCTCAGTTTACTAACAAGATACAGAACCTGGTAGAGTTGCACAGAGGATTGAACAAGGTAACGTGTGTTAACTGTCTAGCATCTCATTTGGAGCTCAGTAAAATTATATAACAAACAAGCAGGGTGGTGGTGCACATTTGTAATCCCAGCCACTCAGTAGGCTAAGGCCAGAGGATTGCAAGTTCCAGGCCAGGCTTGGCAATTCAGCAAGACCCTATTCCTAAAAAATAAAAAGGACTGGGGATGTAGCTCAGTGGTAGAGTGCCCTGAGGTCAATCCCCAGTGTTGAAAAAAAATTATATAGCAAATAGTATTCGATGTTAACTCCCCACTTTAGGCCTGACTTTTCAGGGAAATTGTAATTAAGACCTATTAACCATTCTACTTAACAAATGCTCTTTCTCCTCCCTGTTAGCCAGCTGTCTGTTACCAGGCAATCACAAAGAAGTTGAAAATATGTGAAGAGGTATGTAGGTTCCATGCATGTTTTGATTTTCACATGAGGCCTTGCTGTGGGCTGGCTGACTGGATGATTTGTGCTTCCTGTCCCTAGGAAACCGGTTCCACCTCCATCCAGGCAGCAGACAGCACAGCCGTGAATGGCAGCATCACACCCACAGACAAAAAGTAAGAGCTTTGATAAGAAGGCCTCCTAGGTTCTGCTGGGGAATGGGAGGTGACTCCTCAGGGACCCTTAACAACACTCTGTCTCAGCCATTACTGGGATCAAATGGAAAGAGGGAATATTATAATACTTATTGACAATGATTTGTCTGGGAGCAGTTTGACTTGTAGGAGACAGAAGTGGTCGTTTAAATCCATACTGTCTCCCTTGGGCATAAGCTTAATGGTTGGTTTCTGTAACTGTCTTTTGAGTCTTGAAGCAGGAGATTCTCAGACTTGGCTGTGCCTCATAATCACTAGAAGTTGGCTTATAAAGCACCAGCTGCTGGCATCTACTCCTGCCCAGGGCTTCTCGGTCATTGGGTCTGGGGTGGAACCTTGAGAATACATATTTTTAACAAGTAGCAGATACACTGCTGTTGCTGTTGCCATTCAGGTGGCCCCTCTTTGGAAACCACTGCTTAGCAGACCCTTGACGAAAGCCCCAAGATTGGCCTCTGGGGTGGGGCAGGCGGTGGGAAAGGGATTAAGATATTTGAAATAAAGCAGGTTGTTCTGCCTTCCCTAGCTCTCCATGGTGTTGCCTGTGGTCATTGCTCTATACCTGCTTGCTGCTCTTAAACTGCCCTGCCTAGGTCAGGGGCAAGACCATCCCCAACCTGAGCTTACCCCTGGACTTGCCTTTGCTCCTCCTCTGTAAGCCAGTTGTGTCTCCTGCACAAAATAACAAGTCTGAATTTCCAATTTGTTCCTTCCACCCAGTTCTTTCCCGGACTAAAAACAGCACATCTTTTACTTTATGATTTTTTTGTGATGCTGAAATCACTAATTTTCTAAGTTATATTTAGCAGTGAACTTCCCATTGTGGAATAAGGAGATAGTATTGTTGTGTGCTAGCAAAAGGGGGGATAACTGTCATCCATTCATTAGTGACAGTGAGGTAAGTTGTAAAAACTGCCAGGACAGGGCTGAGGACTCTTGTTCAAGACCTTGGTTGCCCCTTTAGTCAGTCTTTTTCCAATATGTGGCATTTGAAGCCAATTGCAAAGAAAACCAGTTGTGTTGCCATGCTGTCCACATCAACACCTCAGGGAGGCTTGCCAAGTATGATAGTCCATACCCACAAACCCAGCACTTGGGAAAATGAGGCAGGGTTACAGGTTCAAAGCTACTTAGTCTTGGCAATTTAATCAGACCTTGTCTCAAAAGGAGTGGGGGCCAGGGCCTTGAGATACAGTTCAGTAGAGCACTTCTCTGCCTGCACATGGTCCTGAATTCAATCCATAATACTGTGGGGGGGGGGGGGGCAGGGGAAATACTAGAAGCTTTGTCTATAGGTCTATTGGGTTTCCTGCACCATGAAGAAAAGGAAAAAGAACTAACCTGAATTGATCTAGAATCAAGGAATGTTGTACTACCCAGAGAGCGTAGATGGCAAAAGATACCATTGTGTTTTTAAATCTTGGCATGAAACTTAACAGGTAAGGGGCCTTGTTTTAGTGAAGATAGTAGTGGGTTCCATCTTCAACATTGATTCAAATGAAGTGAGCTGGGACAGGGAGGTGTAAGCAGTGAATATTCCAGGGAAACTGGGGACCTCTGAGTAGGAAAGCTAGTTTGCATGGGTGACTGCAGCTATGATTCCAGAAAACCAAAAATATTAAAACATTATCCAACTAACTCTGAGTCAAAGTAGAGAGCTGTAGAGGATGTCTAGAGCTAGGAGGAAACCCAAATAAGAATGGGAAAGAATCAGAAATAAAGAGGCTTTGACCCAGGGCCAGTGGCACATGCCTGTAATCCCAGTGACTCAGTAGGTTGAAGCAGGAGAATTATGAGTTTGAGCCTGTCCCATGCAAGAAGAGATGAAGTTCAAGAACCAGAAAAGACATTTGGGAAAGATGAAAGTCATCTGCAAAAGCATGTAGAAATAGCAATAGTAGCAACTAGCACCCAAGCTGTGCTAGTTTGCAGGAAAGAGCAGGTGAGGAAATGGAGCTAGGCAGACTGTGGCTGCTGCCATTTGCTTCAGTCACAGAGCATCATGATGGGCTGCAGGGATGTAGGGGAGAAGTAGGCATGGGAAGAATTTGTACAGTAGGAAAGATGGGTTCTAAAGCTTAGGCCAAGGACTTTGCTTTGGAATAGAGGGACAGGGCTCACCTCTGCTGACAATAGAAAGAATAGATAGGTAAGACTGAAAGCCAGAGCCTGGGAGAACTAAAGTCAGAAAGGGGAGATGTGGACTGATCCTGCTTCCTGTGACTGAGGAAGTTGCCTGGCTCTGGATATATTGCCTCTGTGACTTGTCCTGGATCCTAATGTACTCTAAAGTGGCACTGGAAAGCCTAGGACTCAAGGTGGCTGGGCAGGAAGTTGTTTGAAGGCTGAAGATAGGTAACTGCTTCCCCACTGTGATGTGGTTATAAGCTCAGAGGCTCTGTCAAAGAAGCAGGGGAGCCCAGTTGGAGGGCTTGCCCTAAGCTGTCCAAGCCATACTTCTTTTATTGCAGCCCAGGGTTTAGAAATGCCTGCTGGCATTTAGGGACACTTTTAGACTCAGTAGACCAGCAGTCAGTGTAACGAACACAGCACACCTGTCAACCTGCTAGTAGTGTTTCTAGCAGCCTGAAGTCCCATTCCCAACATTGTGCTTGCAGGAAGGACACATCCTCGCCCTGTTCCTTCCACTCCCCAGAACTGATCAGTCCTTGTCTCTTTCAGGATAGGATTTTTGGGCCTTGGCCTCATGGGAAGTGGCATCGTCTCCAACTTACTAAAAATGGGTCACACGGTGACTGTCTGGAACCGGACTGCAGAGAAAGTAAGCATCAAGGATGGGGCTTTGGGGCCTTGGAGTATGGGGTAACTCTAAAGACAGACATCTTTCCTGTCATCTTTACTCAGCATTCCGTGTGGAGTAAAGTAGGAGAAGCCACACTTAGTCCAGCAGGTGGAATGTAGATAGGTAAACTTAGAATGTTATTATCAAAGCTAAACGTTTAAAAATACCCATGGATATAAAACAAAGGGTAATTTCCCCTACTCCCTTCTGTTACCTGGGATGACTCCTGTTAGGTTTGTATAGACATTATTTCATGCATATGCAGGTACTATGTGTATGTATTACATTTGTGGTTGGTGAGTACTGTATTGTGTCATTCGTGTAGAGCAGGTAGGTAGATCTCCTTTGTTCTTTTTAGTGGCTACTCCATGTTCTGCCATGTGGACCTCTTGAGCAGTGCCCTGCAGCAGAGCATTCTACAGTGGCAGAGAGATGCTGTGTCTGCTATCCAGTGTAGGAGCCACTGACCACAGTCGGCTATAGAACACTTGAAATGTGTCTAGTACAATAGCACAATTGAATTTTTAATTTTATGTAATTTGAATTTAAATACCCTTGTGTAACTAAGGCTGCTGTATTGAACCATATAAATATAGAGGTTTAGAACTTAAATTGATGGCCTCTTGCTTCAGGGGACCCACACATGCTCAGAAATGAAATTCTAAATCTGTGAATTTGTACCTTTTGTAATGGAGAGAGGCCATGGCTCCTATCAAGTTCTCATTCAAGAAAAGGTAAAGAACTATATTCTGAGTACTAGGAAACTAAAGCCCTGTATTTCTTACAGAGTGAAGAAAAACTCAAATAGTACATCCTCTTGAGGCACGTGGTGTAGTTGGCACGTATTTGTGACATGCCTACGTGTGCACAACAAGACACTGTCAGCCCCATGAGCATTAAGTGGCAGTGAGGGCTGAGGTGGGGTGTGACTGCTCAAGGAGATAGTGGAGCTCTGACTGATGGCTCTGAATTAACAAAAACTACCTAAGGGTTGGGGTGAAGCTCAGTGAGAGAGCACATACTTAGCAGTGCAAGGCTGTGGGTTTGATTCCTAGCACTTAAAAAAAAAAAAAAAAAAAGTTCTAGGCAAGTTAAAAATTAACTTCACAGAATAAAGCACTTTTCAAAAACAGCAGAGTTGTGGGTTGGCGAGGGTGGCTGGGGAAACGGGCACCAAAAGCCAATCTCAGGTAGCAGCTCTGCAGGTGCTGGGCTTGGATAGTCACTGTGGGGACCTGAACCCAGGGACTTGTAAATGCTAGGAAAGTACTTTATCAATGAGCCATACTCCCAGCCTTATCTTTTTCTCTTCTTCTTCTTCTTCTTTTTTAATAATTTAAGATTATGTGGGGACCTGAGTCAGGAGCAAGATCTCAGGCCTGCTGGCTGGAGACTTTGTGGCTCAGACACTCTTCTTAGCCCCTGCTACTGCTATTGAAGGCGAGGAGAACCAGGATGTCTAGACGAATGTGGTCACAAGGACATGGGAGAGTCAGCAGTTTTGTCTAGGGAGCATATTTCCCTTGATAGAAGTGCCTCTGGCCATCCGGCCTTCCTGACTGGAAACTTGTGTCATCAACATGACCTTTCCAGATTTACAGACAGGCAGCAGAGCAAAGCAGTTGTGAATTTAGGCTGGAGTCAGGCAAACCTATGTTCGGGTCCTAGCTGCGCTTTCCTTCTTCTGCTAAACTCTCCTTCCCTGAACCCCGGCATCCTCAACAGTGAGGTGACCATGAGGAGAGCACCGGCCGGGAGTCAGTGCAGTGGTCTAAAAGTACTAAGCATGGTGCTTGTAACAAATTGCTTAGTGAGTGTCATCTTTAAAAAGCCTTATTTAATACAGATGGCAATCCCTGTGGAATTTTTTTTTTAAAGCTCTTAATGAAGGTGATCCTCTGATTCTCCTGGAATAATAAATAAAAATCATAGTTTTAATTTTCAGAAAAGGGAGAGCAATAAGAAGGACCCTCCCAAAGCTTCATTACTAAAAAGGCTGTTGTGGAAACCCAGGCCCAGCAGGTAGACTCAGCAGCCTCAGACAAGGGCAGCATACTGGGAATCGGAGGCACATTGAGGGACTGGTCAGAACAATATGTTTAGGACAACTGGTTAGAAATGTGGGAAAATGCTGCTGGGTGTTGTGGCACACGCCTGTAATCCCAGTGGCTCAGGAGGATCATGAGTTGAAAGCCAGCCTCAGCAAAAAGTAAGGCACTAAACAACTCAGTGAGACCCTGTCTCTAAATAAAATACAAAAAATAGGACTGGGGATGTGGCTCAGTGGTTGAGTTCCCCTGTGTTCAGTCCCAAGTACCCCCACCCTCGCCTCCAAAAAAAAAGAAATGTGGGAAAATACTAATCTCACATCCTACCACTTACTAAAATATGTTCCAAATCAAGTACTTGATTGATTGATTGATTTTGGTGTTGGGTATTGAAGCAAGGGAGAAGGGGAGGAGGCCAGCCAGCTCTCCTGGCTTAACCAGAGTCTCATCCCCACTCCTTTGGTTTTTTTGTTTTTTTTCTCACTAAGTTGCTGAGGCTGGTTGAACTTGTAATCCTCCCGTCTCAGCCTCCTGAGTCACTAGGATTATAGCTGTGCACCAAAGTGCCTGGCCTGAATTAATTTTTTTTTTTTAAAGAGAGAGAATTTTTTAATATTTATTTTTTAGTTTTCGGTGGACACAACATTTTATGTGGTGCTGAGGATCGAACCCAGCGCCGTGCACATGCCAAACAAGCGTGCTACTGCTTGAGCCACATCCCCAGCCCTGAATTAATTTTTTTAAAGGAAAAATAAACCAGAGGGAAAAAAATTAATGTAGGTCTTTCTGAGCCTAAAACAATAAGAATCACCAAAGAAAAAGATCATAAGGGACTGGGGTTGTGGCTCAGTGGTAGAGCGCTTGCCTAGCACATGTAAGGCACTGGGTTTAATCCTCAGCACCACAAAAAATAAATAAAATTAGGGTATTGTGTCCATCAACAACTAAAAATATTTTAAAAAAAAGAAGAAGAGAAAAAGATAAGGCTGGGAGTATGGCTCATTGATAAAGTACTTTCCTGGCATTTACAAGGCCCTGGGTTCAATCCCTACCACCACAAAAAGAAAGAAAGAAAAGAAGAGATAAATAAAAAGATAAATAGTTTTTTGATAATACTCCCACCCCCCCCCAAAAAAAAAAAAAGTAAACAGAACTGAAAGGTGAGGCCTGGGGTATAAGCTCAGTGGTAGGGGTTCTTGCCTAACTTTCCTTGTTCTGGAGATGTCCAGGAGGACTGGCCAGGCACCTCTGGCCTGCTGGCATGTTTGTTGTGCACTGCCTGCTGCTCACGGTAGGATCTGTGACTTTTGCAGTGTGATTTGTTCATCCAGGAGGGGGCCCGCCTAGGAAGAACCCCCGCGGAAGTCGTTTCAACTTGTGACATCACTTTCGCCTGTGTGTCGGATCCAAAGGCAGCCAAGGACGTAAGGATCCCCCGTCCCCTCAGCATCTCAGGTTGTAGCCAGGAGAGCTGGCTGGCCTCCTCCCCTTCTCCCTTGCACATGAGTGTCTGCATGTGGGGATGGAATTTCTCATGAGGCGCTATCTTCCATTGGGAAGGGTACTTGCATAAGTTGAATACAGACTCCCTTTAATTCAGAACAAAGAATAAAAACTACTGGGATCATTGAAGTCAACTGAAATGATTCCTCTTGAGCTGGAAGCTTGTGGTTAAGTGCCTTTGATCCAGGAGCCAGCTTCCTGTGTATAGCTATCACTGAATTTGTGTGTTAAAAGCTCAAGTGCACAGGCTGAGGATATAGCTCAACTGGTAGAGTGCTTGCCTTGCATGCACAAGGCCTTGGGTTCTAATCCCCAGTACCACCACACACAAAAAAAAAGTTCAAGTGCAGGAGGCATCCTGTTAACCTAATGCCTAGGCTAATCCAAGTCAATGCAAAGAAGCCCCTCAAAAAAGAGATTCTGTCTTCTGTCTTAAATGGTGGGGGGAGTGGTCACAGATATATGGGAACGTACTGGATATACTTTCTATCCCTTGATTATTTTATTCAGGGTCTCTTTCTTTTTCAACCCTGGTAGTTAACTCCTAATCAGGAAGTGATCCAGAAGAAGCAACAGACCTAATCTCAGGTCTGCAGAGGCTCCTAAGCATCTAGCCGGGAGCTTGGGCTATTGCTTTTCCCTTGTGTCCCTACAGCTGGTGCTGGGCCCCAGTGGTGTACTGCAAGGGATCCGCCCTGGGAAGTGCTATGTGGACATGTCAACGGTGGATGCTGACACAGTCACTGAGCTGGCCCAGGTAGCAGCCTTATTCAGACTGGTTCTAGATCATCCTTTCAGTGGGTGCTCAAATCCCAGGTTGGCCATGCACGAGTATAAGCAGTTTGGTTACAAAGCCAAAGAGAAGAAGAGACACCAGTACCTTGGAACTAGCCTGTCTTCACTCTCCACCATCAAAGCCTCAGCTAGTCTGAACAGCCATGAGACATTGCTGCCGGCTGAACGGTCCATGGTTGCCAGTCCTACAGTGAGAAGTAATCCAGGCTGCCAGTTTGGCCTTTTTGGTTTAAGCAGCTATCTGCTTTTGAGTCTAGCAGAGTATCCCTCTACCTGAGTCTTCTGCTCAAGCAGGAAGCAGTGACTTTTGGACCCATGTATGTTCTAAACATGGTTGAAGTCAGGGATGGGTAGTGTCCAGAGGGGAAGTGTGTTCATCCACCCCATTGGTATGCTCACATTTACTCCCCGGTCTTTGTCAGAAATCCAGAGTAGGGCTGGGGCTGGGGCTCAGTGGCAGAGTGCTTGCCTAGCACGTGTGAGGCACTGGGTTTGATCCTTAGCACCACATAAAGAAAAATAAATAAAGGTATTTTGTCCACTACAACTACAATTTTTTTTTTTAAGAGAATAAAGAAATCCAGAGTAAATGTGGACCTTGTATGCTCTCTCATTATTGCCTTGTGACTCCTAACGTCTGGAGGTTATCCTGCCAGACCCTCTACAGTAATTGTTCTACAGGTGTCAGTTTGGGACCTCAGCATGAATGCTGTGTGCTTCTACACCTCTAGTTCTGGCTAGTCTGATGAGAAACCATGGCCCCCAAGACATCCTTGCTCCTTGCTTGAGACCCCTATGAAAGGCAAGGCCTTCAGAAGCTGTGACTTTTCCTCACAGGTGATTGTGTCCAGAGGGGGCCGCTTTCTGGAAGCCCCAGTCTCAGGGAATCAGCAGCTGTCCAATGATGGGATGCTGGTGATTTTGGCAGCTGGAGACAGGGGGTTGTATGAGGACTGTAGCAGCTGCTTCCAGGCAATGGGAAAGACCTCCTTCTTTCTAGGTAATGTGCCTGTCAACCTGTCGGTGTATCAGGTTTGGGGGGACCATGCACGCTGGTGACAGTGTGTCCTGCATGGCCTGCCTGCTAGGCACCCTGGGGGAAGTTTTCATTTAACATGCCCATTCAGTACCTGGAAGGAGGAAGGACCATTTCTGTAGGGGGCAGGTAAAAGAGGCTCCCCCAGAGTATAGGGGTGAGGGCAGTCTTAGAACATGAACTTGACTCTTTGCCCTGGGCAGGTGAAGTTGGGAATGCAGCCAAGATGATGCTCATCGTGAATATGGTCCAAGGGAGCTTCATGGCCACCATCGCTGAGGGGCTGACCCTGGCCCAAGTGACAGGCCAGTCACAGCAGACACTCTTGGACATCCTCAATCAGGGACAGTTAGCCAGCATCTTCCTGGACCAGAAGTGCCAAAGTGAGTCACCTTTGACCTCTTTAGAGCCTGGGGAATTAGGTCAGTCAGCTATCCCAGGATAGTACTTCTTCTGGGGTTCATTGGATGTGAAAGGTGTTCTTTCTCCAGTCAGTCCATAGACAAGATGGATGGGATTTGGGGCACAGACTGGGAGTTCTCTCTCTTGGGCAGGTGGTTGTTTTAGAGGGTCCTTGGATTTCTAAGTAGCTCTCCCTCCTCAGATATCCTGCAAGGAAACTTTAAGCCTGATTTCTACCTGAAATACATTCAGAAGGATCTCCGTTTGGCCATCGCACTGGGCGATGCCGTCAACCACCCAACTCCCATGGCAGCTGCAGCCAACGAGGTAATGTGACAGCACTGGGGTCCAAATCCCAGGATTCTTCAGTTTCTTTTTCTTTTATTAGTTCTGTCCCTCTATTTAGCTCTGCTCTTTCTTTTTTGCACATTTTATTCTCACTTCATTAGGCTGGGAAAGGAAGGAATCACATACGTGTAGATGCACTGTTCTCTTGCTTTTCATACATAATAACAGTCTAGTTTCTAGTTGTCTTTAGGTTCAGGATGTGGATCATCTTTGCTTTTTTCCTACCCTTTAAGGTGGAAACTTAGAAGACTATTGGTTTTTTTTTTTTTGTTCTGTTTTGTTTCCCCTGTACCAGAGATTGAAACCAAGGGTGATCTACATTCCAAGCTCTTTTTATTTATTTGGTTTTTTTTTTTGGGTGCCAGGGATTGAACTCAGGGGCACTGGACTACTGAGCCACATCCCAGCACTATTTTGTATTTTATTTAGAGACAGGGTCTCACTGAGTTGCTTAGCACCTCACTTTTGTTGAGGCTGGCTTTAAACTTGCAATCCTCCTGCCTCAGCCTCCCAAGCCACTGGGATTACAGGTATGCACCACCACACCCGGCCCATTTTATTTTTATTTTGAGACAGGGATCTCACTAAGTTGCCAAAGCTGGCCTTGAACTTGAGATCCTCCTGCTTCAGCCTCCCAAGTTGTTATGATTGCACTTGTGTGCTACCATGGCCTGCTAGACATTTTTTTTTTTCATAACAAGAATGCTACAAATTTTCTTCTGAGCCACAATAATTTCTCTTGCTATTTCTTCTTTGATCTGTGAATTACTTGAAAGTTTGTCTAGCCAGATGTGTAGCACACACCTATAATCTCAGCTACTCAGGAGATTGAGGCAAGAGGATCACAAGTTCAAGGCAAGTCTGAGCAAGTTTATAAGACTCTGTTTTTTGGTTTGTTTTTAATTTTTTTTTTTAGTTGTAGATGGACACAATGCCTTTATTTTATTTGCTTATTTTTAGTGGTGCCAAGGATCGAACCCAATGCCTCATGCATGCTAGGCAAGCTTCCTACCACTGAGCCACAAACCCAGCCCCAAAGAACCTGTCTTAACATAAAAACAATTGAAAAATAATATTTAAAAAAAGAAAAGTTAGCCCAGCGAGGCATGGTGGCATGCAGCTATAATCACAGCACTTAGGAGGCTGAGGCAGGAGAATTCCTTAGGCAACCTCAGAAAAAAAAAAAAATTTTTTGTTCAATATTTGGGGTTTTCCTAGATATCTAACGGTTATTAAATGTCTAATTTATTTCTCTTGTGATCAGAGAGCATGCCATCAGGGTCTTTCAAATTCATCTTTCAGTAATGATGTGAAGCCTTTTTTTTTTTTTTTTTTTTTGATCAGGGATTGAACACAGATTGCATAACCACCAAGCCACATCCCTAGTCCTTATTTTATATGAGACAGGGTCTCACTATGTTACTGAGGCTGGCCTTGAACTTGTGATCCTTCTTTTTCCCTCCTCACCTCACCCCACCTTTTTTTTTTTTTCTTTGCAGTGCTGGGATTGGATTGAATCCTGGGCTTTCCACTTGATCTGCAAGCACTCTATCACTGAGCCACATCCTCAGCCCTTATGTTGGCTTTAGTTGTGCTTCTTTACATTGCTTTTTTTGGATGTTCTAAGGATTGCAATGTATATGCTTCACTTCACAGCCTCCTTAGAATTAGTCTTGTACCAATTCACATATCACATGGAAACATAAGCCCATAGATCCAGTTGTTACCCACTCTTCCTTGAGCAGAGACTCATTCCATGTGGTAGGGCTGTGCCTGGCTGCCTTTGTTTAAAACCCATCAGTCAGGGTTGTGAGTTTTTGCTTTAAGCAGTTACAAGTATTTTACACATTCTAAGAAAAACTAGCCAGGTGCAGTGGTGCATGCCTGTAATGCCAGTGGCTTGGGAGGCTGAGGCAGGAAAATCATGAGTTCAAAGCCAGCCTGAGCAACGTAGTGAGGCCCTAAGCAACTTAGTGATACCCTGACTCAAAATCAAATATAAAAAAGGGATGGGGAGATTTGGGGTTGTGGCTCAGTGGTAGATCGCTCGCCTAGCACATGTAAGGCCCTGGGTTCAATCCTCAACACCACATAAAAATAAATAAAATAAAGTTATTGTGTCCATCTACAACTAAAAGAATTTAAAAAAAAAAAAAAAAGGATGGGGATGTGGCTCAATGGTTAAGTGCCCCTGAGTTTAGTTCCAAAAAAAGGAAAAAATAATTTTTATATCTCCCTGTATTTACCATTTCCATTGAGAACTGAGTTTCTCTGGTCTTATTTCCTCTCAGCTAGAAGACTTTCTTTAGAATTCGTTACAGTGCAGGTCTGCTGGTGATAGTGTTCTTTCATCTGAAAAGGTAGCTTGGGAGTTGTGGTGAGCCCTCTATGGTGGTGGCTCTGATAGACTGGCAGCCAGCCCCGTAGGTGGCCAACTGGGTGCAGCTGCTGCTTAGGCGGAAGGTCCCTTTTTTTTTTTTGATGGTGTTGGAAATTGAACCCATGGCTTTGTGCTATGCACGTGAGGCAAGCACTGTACCAACTGAGCTATATCCCTAGCCTCAAGGAGCCAGCCTTTTTGAGGGACAAGTCTTTCTTGCAGAGAAAACAAAGACAGCAACCAAAGGATAACAGGATGTCCTTGGAGGGTCATCTGCAGCAAGGGACCATAGCACAATTACTAACAATACTGAGTACTTTGCATACCTTATTTAATCTTCAAAATAACTTCATGAGGTCAGCACTGTTGCCTCCATATTAAGCAGTGGGTAAGGACCAGAAAAACTGAGGTACTTTATCCAAGTTCAAGCCAGGAATTGCACCCAGCTGTGGCCTGCTTAGCCACATCTAGAACTGCCTGCAGGAATTAGAACAGTCTTTAAGGCAGCTCTGGCCAGAGATGAACCACTGTCTTTTTTTCCTAGGTGTACAAAAGAGCCAAGGCACTGGACCAGTCTGACAACGACATGTCTGCCGTGTACCGGGCCTACATACACTAAGCCGTTGGCATCCCGCCCCTCCCGTCTTCCCACTGGCCCCTCTTCCTGATGTGGGGCCAGGGTCCCAGGACGTGGCTCTGGACCAGTCCACCTGTCTCCATTTCCTTTATACAGACTCTGAGACTTGCCGTCAGCACAGCACACAGCAGCACCCTCCCCTGTGGCCCTGGGGAGGGAGGGGTGTCAGCAGGGTTGGCTCGTGAGGAAGCTGTTGTGCTGGACACGGGCCCCAGACTAGGAGGCCGTGTGTTCTCACACGTGTGCTCATGTACACACACACACACACACACGTGCACACACTGGCTCTCACCCCAGGATAGAAACTGCCCAGAAACTGCTGCCTGGCTTTTTTCTTCTTCCAAGCTTGTCTTATCTCAGACCCTTTCCGGTTGAGGAACTAGAATCAACAGTGAGAGTTGGAAGCCTTCCCACAGCTTCCCCAGAAGAGAGGCTTACGTGTCCCCCGCTGGACCCCTGCAGGTAAAGGCTCTGGGCCAAGATGAACCAGCAGAGAGACTCCTGATGGAGGCTCCCACGGGCCCTCCAGCCGCAGGTGACCAGCTATCAGCACGCAGCTAACTCTGTCAACGCCTTTGTGGACTGAGACGAGACTGACAGTCCCACACAGCAGGCTTTGGCTCCACAAGAAGAGCAGCAAGAGGCCAGCCTGTAGGTGAGCACAGCTGCCAGGCTCCCCTCACTGCTGCTCAGCACCCGCCACAGATGCCACCATCACTCGCAAGCCTCTGCCAGCCTGGGGTCCTGGCCGCCCTGCAGTGGGAGCTTGCTCCTTACCAGGCTGTTTTAGTGTTTGGATTTGCATTCCAGCCCTTGGGAAGGGGGTCCTGAGGGCGCCAGTGAGCAGTGAAGAGGAGGGGTGGCTTCTTCCTGTTTCCGTTATGCCACAGTCTCTTCACCTGGCTCTGCAGAGCCACTCTGAACCGGCCCACCTGCCCCAGCCTTCCCTGCACAGTTCCCTGCATGCCCCACCTCTCTAGAGGAACTCTCCTTCCTCCCCTTTTCCTCCCACAGAGGTCTGTCTGTCCTGTCTTTTGGCCCAGACCCAGCCTGACCAACAATGAGCATTTTTCTTGGGCTCAGCTCTTGATAGGGAACGGGTATCTTCGTTCCAGCCAGCATCATGGTCTTTGGTGCTTCCTGGGCCCCGGGTCTGTTAGGATGGAAGAGAACTGGGTCTAATGTAGCCTGGACTAGTTGACCCTCAGGTGGAGCTGGGGTATCCTCAAGGCCCTGACATTTCTCCTTGGATGGGGACCAGAAGGGCTTAGAATGTTGCGTGAGAACAAGGAGAAGTCACCCACAGGATGTCAGCTTTTTCTCCCTCATGGTTTGGGTTTTCCAAAGTCACAATTTGCCCGAGGTCAGCATTTATAGTGAAGTATATGTAACTATATATATAAGGTGGCCACACTGGTGTGGGGTCTCTCCCCCTCACAACCTTGGCCCTTTTCCACTCTAGAATGGAGGACGTGGGGTGGGGGCAGAGAAGACGCCCTGCGGTTCCGCACAGTTGTCTGTCTGAACACAGCCTGTCCTAGTCCTGGAGGACACAGAGGGTGGGGTAGGGGAAGATGCTGTAATGAAACCGGTTAGTCAATGTTGTCTTAATATTGTTGACAATTCTGTATAGTTCCTTTTTATGAATATTTCTGTTTAAGCTATTTCATCTGTTTTGAAACCCTTCCCTTTTAAGGAGAAAATGTGACACTTGTGAAAAGCTTGTAAGAAAGCCCTCCTTCCCTTTTTTCCTTTAAGCCTCCTTTAAATGACAAATCTAGGTGATTAAGGTTGTGAATTTTTATTTTTGCTTTGTTTTTAATGAACATTTGTCTTTCAGAATAGGATTGTGTGATAATGTTTAAATGGCAAAAAAAAAAAAAAAACATGATTTTGTGCAATTAACAAAGCTACTGCAAGAAAAAATAAAACATTTCTTGGTAACAGCTGTGCCACGCTAGCCCCAGAGCTTGGGTTGGGGACCTGCCGAGTAGGGACCAGGCTTGCGGATGGCTCCGCGCTCGCGGGGGCGGCGCACAGCGGGCCAATGGCGAGGCCGAGCGCGGGCGGGCCGCCCGGCCGGCCAATCCCTAAACGGAGGTGGGGCGGGGCCGGCGGCCAAAACGTCCCACCCGAGTGCGGCGGTCAGCTAGGTCCCTGGAGCAGGGGACAACCGGCTTACGCTGCAGCCGGCCTGGTTTCAGGGCGCCCGCAGGTCGCATTAGGCGGGACAGTAGTCGCCGGCCAATCGCTTATTAGGGGGCGGGGCCTCAGCCCGTTCTGCCAATCGACGCTAAGGGGCGGGGCGGGCGCTGCTCACGGACAGACGGCGGACCGCTGCGACCCGCGCTGGGCGGCGGCGATGGCGACCGCGATGGCAGCGACCGCGGCGGAGCGAACGGTGCTGGTGAGGCGCGCGGGCGGCGGGCGGCGGGCGGCGGGCCGGGCCGGGCCAGGCAGTGACCCCGCGTTGTCCCGGCAGGAGGAGGAGTTCCGCTGGCTGCTGCACGCCGAGGTGCACGCCGTGCTGAGGCAGCTGCAGGACATCCTCAAGGTAAGTGTGCGCCCGCCCGCCCATCCACCTGCGGCCCTGCCCCCCCCCGGCCTCTGCGCCCCGACCCTGCCAGGCTCGGCGACCGCCCCCTCCCACTGGGCCCCTGTCGCCGGTCGTGCCGTAGCTGATAACAGGGCGCGGCGGTACTCTGACGAGGCCCCCGCCTCAGTGAACTTGGGGTCAAGCAATCGGCACCTGATTACGCAAACAGCCAAGGGCAGAGGATGACAAGCAAGCGCCTGGCGTTATCCCTCGGGGCTTGGGCGAAGAAGGTTTCCTTTGAAAGCAATGACATTTAATCTGAAAGCTGAAGGATCCCTGGTTCTTCCCTGCAGTGTGATCTCAGCCAAATTACTCAACCTCTTTGAGCCTCTCTTTCCTCGTCTGCCGAGGGAGATAACAGTACAGGCTTCACAGGACTATTGTGAAGATAAATAAGACATTTATCTCACCAAAATGTCCAGCGCAGTGCCTGGGCAGTATGACCCAGAACTGCCGGTTAACTACTGTCTTGTTCCACCACTCGCTTCTCACACCCCCGCACCTCAGCTCAGCTGGGGGGACCACCCTTTGTCCTGTATTCCCCATAGGGACCACACAGTAGGTGCTCAAAGAGTGTGGTTTGAGCAAGTCTGGGCTCCCTTGGGACTGGAAACTCAGGCTGTGTTCAGGAAGGGGCCCTGGAGCCTTGAGTAGGGCCATCCTACCTCAGCTAAGCCCCAGGCTCCAGGTCAAGCCAGCCCACAATGCCCCCTTCTCATGACCTGGGGCCTGGGGGCACTCTGAAGGCATCCTGGCTGGACTTGGGCAGACTTCACCCAGGTGCTCTTTGTCCCCCGCAGGAGGCCTCTCTCCGCTTCACTCTTCCAGGCTCAGGCACTGAGGGGCCTGCCAAGCAGGAGAACTTCATCCTGGGCAGCTGCGGGTGAGTTGAGGTGGGCAGACACCTGGAGGAGGGGTTCTTTAGTTGGGGGGACTCCTGGGGTACCTAGGGGCAGGAGGCCTGGTCATGGCTCTGTCCTGCAAGCTAATCTGGGTACGCAATGCACAGTATGACAGCCAGGGAGAATGCTGAACAGCAAAGGGTGGCCCACTGGGAGGGTTCCACAGTCGGGAGGACAGTGGGTACCCCCCCACCCGCTGACCCCCACGTGTTGTAGCACAGACCAGGTGAAGGGTGTGCTGACTCTGCAAGGAGATGCCCTCAGCCAGGCGGTGAGTTCCTTGGGCCCTCTCCTCTCCCATACTGTCAGTGTGGAAAAGCTGCGGGGGGGGGGGGGGGGGGCTCCTGATTTCTTCAGCTATCCCCCAGCCATCTGTGTGACTCTGGGCAAGACTCTTGGCCTCTTTAGGCCTGGGCTTACTTGTTTGTAAAATGACAGTACCCCCTGCACCTTCTCCTGGGATTGGCATGTGGATTCAGGGAAGGGCACTACTTTGCCCCCAGCCCTGCCTGGTGTCTGGATCCTATGAAACGTGAGCCTTGGCAGGATTAGGCTGGCCCTGGATCAAAGGTGAATCAGCCAAATGTCTGAGCCTGTCTACGCCCCGCCCTGAACCAGGCACCAAGCCATGGGGGAAGGTCCTTCTCTTCGGTGGCTTCAGTCTATTGCCCTTGACAGATGCTCCCCATTGCCCACTGTCACACAAAGGCCACATTCTCCTACAGTTCTTCCCCTTTCTCAACCTCTCTTTTCCCTTTTCCTTCTCTCTTGAGTCCTCCTGGGCCTGAGTTCCTGTTTTCTGCCTCCCTGTTCAGCCCCCATGGTGAAGATGTTGAGAGGCCCTTCGCCCTGTGGGGCCTGAACCACCAGCTACTCCATTCCTGCCCCTGGCTCCGGGGCACAGGGTGGCCCAAAATAGGATGTTCCTTTGCCCTGCTTATTCCACTCTTGCCCATCAGGATGTGAATCTGAAGATGCCCCGGAACAACCAGCTGCTACACTTGGCCTTCAGAGAGGACAAGCAGTGGAAGCTGCAGCAGGTGACCCGGCCCCTGCCTGGCCAGGGCACAGGCCGCAGGGGCAGGCAGGGACAGGCCCACACGCTGGGCCTCCCTGGGGCTGGCCATGGGGATCTGTGGCCACAGCAAGTCTGGGAGGGAGTTGCCTAGCAGCGAAGCTGAGCTGGGGTGGGCGGTGCCTGAGCCCCAGGGCCTGCTCCACACAGGGAGAAAGAACCTGTCCTGCCTAGGGGCCCTCTGGCGCAGCGGGGTCAGCTAATGGTGCCCCTAAACTAGTCACTCACTCCTCCGGGAACTTCTCATGGCTCTGGGACCAAGATCACGCTTCCTATCAGGGACTAAGCCATGGGCCCAGCCTCTTTCCTGGGCTGTTTTTCTGAGGCTGGGCTGCACCTCAGTGCTTTGGCCTGTGTGTATATCTCCTGCCGGGAGCCCTCCCCCTTGGCCTTGCCCATCACATAGGCCTCAAGCCAGGAGTTGCCTCTCTAGGGGCCTCCTCTGACCCCCATCCTCTGCATCCCACCTTGCTGTGCTTGCCCTTCTGGGAGTCCCCCAGCCTTGTCCCCTTGTGGACTTCCTCTGCAATTGTCTGTGCTTTAGAAGGTGAGCTACACAAGGGCAGAAACCTGGCCCACCTGGCCTTGCCCTTGAGGACTCAGCTGAGCAGATTGATGCTGTCTCCTGGGAGGTCAGGTCCCCACCGTGTGCTGGCCCAGCCTCTCCCAGAGATGCAGCTGCTCTGAAGCTGATGACACCCAGCCCCATAACCTCTCATGGATGCTCTTCTCAGATCCAGGATGCGAGGAACCATGTGAGCCAAGCTATTTACCTCCTCGCCAACCGGGATGAGAACTACCAGTTCAAGACAGGCGCTGAAGTCCTCAAGGTGAGCTGCCCTGATCTAGCCGAGGCCCCTGGAGAGCATTGGCCCCCAGGCTCTCAGGGAGCCCTGTGCCTGTGGACCTTGGCCCATATTCTCAGGTGTAACCGAAGATGATCCTTCCCCTCTCAGTGTTCACTTATCTACCTACCACGTAGTGGCTCACTCTCTGGGACCCAGAGTTAAGCTTTTAATTAATGACAAAGACAAAGCAAGAGATTTACTTGTGGGAAGAGCTGACTCAAATGCTTTAGCTCTGCCTCTGACTTGCTGTGTGTCTTTGGATGGTTCATCCACCCTTTCTGAACCTCCATGACCAACAGGCTCCATGAATATTAGAAGACATGGAAGGTGGGGCTTTGCTCCCTGGCAAGGGAAGAAAGGGCTCCCAGTGCCTCTACTGTTCACCAGCAGTATGACCTGGCTTACCCCTTTGGAGGGTTAGTTTCCTCACCTGGGAAAACTCAAGATCTCAACTGAGCCTCCTCCAGGAAGCCTTCACTGGCCTCTTGCATCCAAGTGGGGTTAGCCCCTCCTCTTCTCAGCTCCTTCATTGCCTATGCCCCATCCATAAAGCCTGCGCCCTGACTCCCGTGGGCCGGTGCCCAAGATCCCCACACAGCAGATTCTGAGTGGCGGCTGTCCCCAGCCCTGCTCCTGGGCACTGGGACCACCTAGGAGGAGCAGGGCTACGACTGTTGCTCCCTGGTGCTGTTAGGGAGGGTGGGGACCAGACCAGTGGCCCTCACAGCAGCCATGGCCACCTTCCCCAGCTCATGGACGCTGTGATGCTGCAGCTGACCCGAGCCCGCAACCGGCTCACGACCCCTGCCACCCTCACCCTGCCTGAGATCGCCGCCAGCGGCCTCACGGTCAGTGCCTCGGGCAGCCCCCACACCAAGAGAGGGGTCCCACCGACAGGTCCAGCTTGTCCCCTGGAAAGGACACAAGCGCCAACCCCAAATTGCAGGGGTCTGAATTGTGTGTCTGTGGTTTATGGGAACACAGTCGTGACTGTCACCCTGTGTCCCCCCCCCATGTGTTGCTCTGCTCTGGGCCATGGCTCCAAACCCAACAGCACAGGAGGATCCCAGGGCACCTGGGAAAGTCTGGAAACCCTGGTCCCAGGTGCGGGTTTGGGCTGGGTGCTGGGTGCCTAGGAGGCAGCAGGAACTATACCCACCCCACAGGGGTGCAGCCTGGGTGGGAGGGGCCTCACCCCCCTTCTTCCCCAGAGGATGTTTGCCCCCAGCCTGCCTCCGGACTTACTGGTCAACGTCTACATCAACCTCAACAAGCTGTGCCTCACGGTGTACCAGCTGCACGCCCTGCAGCCCAACTCCACCAAGGTGAGCAGACCTTGCCTCCAGAGCGCCAGCCCTGGGCCTCGCCTTGGCCTCACAGGTCCTGGTGTTTCTGCCTAGAATTTCCGCCCAGCTGGAGGCTCCGTGCTCCATAGCCCCGGGGCCATGTTGTAAGTACCGGGAGAGGGGTCCTGGGGCGCCCCCTTGCCACCCCTCTGCCGGGGGCTGGCCAGCCCTCAGGAACCGCACCTCCTCTCCAGCGAGTGGGGTGCCCAGCGCCTGGAGGTGAGCCACGTACACAAGGTGGAGTGTGTGGTCCCCTGGCTCAATGACGCCCTGGTGTACTTCACCGTCTCCCTGCAGCTCTGCCAGCAGCTCAAGGACAAGGTGTGTGGGGTGCTGTGGGGCAAGAGGAGCAGGGCAGAGCCCCTTCTTTTGGGGGAGAGAGCATCCCGAGGGCATGTGGCACACCTCCTAAGTGGCCCACTGTTCCCACACACCAGGCAGCTGGGCCACAGTGCTGCTGGGCCCTCACTTCACACTGTGCCCTCAGGTGACCTGACTCTCACCTGGTCGTGGAGGTTGCAGCAGGGGGCTGGAGCTGAGGGGAGCCCCAGCACCCACTGACCACACACTCCCTCTGCAGATCTCCGTGTTCTCCAGCTACTGGAGCTACAGACCCTTCTGAGCAGGCCGCCCCAGGAGCCTCTCCCCCGAGAGGGTGGCTCCTGCCCAATGGAGGCCCTTCCCCATACACACTCCTCTGTGGTGCCCCCGGAGCGAGCACCTCGTGCTGTTTCTCCCCCTCGCCCCCCCATTTGCACACCGGGATGAACTCTGGCAGCAGGGCTGGGAAGATGGCCCAGGGGTGTCCGCAGCCCAGGCCCAGGGCTGCAGCTTCCTCCGGGTGATGAGAGGCAGCCCAGCCCATTTGGCAGAGGATGGCAGGAAAGAAGGAGGCTCAGCAGGTGGAAGCTGCTCGGGGAATGTGCTTAGTGCCCTGACTTCGCTCTGCCCTGCGGGCAGCCTCCACAAAATAAAGATCCTCAGGCTGCCTGCAGCCCTGGTCTCTGTCTGCGTGGGGCCAGCTGGGGTTCTGGTGGTCAGTGGTTCCCACCCCATTCGCCACACCCATCTGGGGACATGTGGTCCGTCCCCTGGTTGTCCATGAGCCAAGTGGGAAGGGGATGAGCTGTGCTTGGGAGCTGAGGCCCCCTGTCAGAGACCATGAACTGAGTGACCTGGAGGAACGCTCGGGCATCCCAAGGCAGCAGGGCTAGGAACAATCAAGACACACGCTCTGGGCAGACATAAGCTTTGTTACCATCACCAGCAGGACACAAACCAAGGGAGAGGCATTAAGGTTCCAGAGCCAAGTTGTCCACTCCCTGAGGTCTCTCCTGTAAGGCAGAGGGGTGCTGTGGGCATCACTGGGTTCCCAGCCGCCCCTCCAGGCCCTGCCCAGCCCCTTCCTGGATCAGTCCTGGGAAATGGGACCACCGAGGAGGAGGAGAGCTACAACTATTGCCCCACTTGGGCTGCGCCCCCCCCTCACCTTCACCTTCCTGGGGGAGGGGCAGCAGCAGTGGCAGCAGCAGTGGGCAGTGACCAGCAGCAGCAGGAACAGGACGGTGCCTGGAGCAGGACGGGTGTGCAGATATGGGCTCCGGCCTGGCCCTGGGATGGGCCTTTAGGGTCCAAGGGCACCGGCCACACTCACCCACGAAGATGAGGAAGACCACAAAGGCAGCAGTGTCCCACTCGGACTGGAACAGGTGGCGACTCTTAAGTCTCCCCAGCACTTCCTGGGCTGTGACCTCCAGCTCCTGCCTCAGCTCCTCCGCAGACAGGCCCATCTCCGCAGGAACCAGCTGTTCCAGCCCCCAGAGGGTGACCTTAGAACCCTGGGCCAGCTCCGGCCTCCGTGGCCCAGCCCCTCTGCTCCCCCTGTCCCCGGCCAGGGCCACTGCCCAGCTCTCGCCACCTGTCCCTCAGCCGGCCCTGCCTCAGGCCCCGTGCCTCCCACTCCTCTTCTAGCCCCACCCTTCCAGCCCAGACAGCCCCCTGAAGCCCTGTCCTGCTCCCTCTTTCCCCCAGGGCTGCCCCCAGGTGCCACCTGCCTCCAGGAAGCCTTGCTCCCCTGGCCAGGCAGTTCCAGCCTGGAGAGCACAGACTGTTTCCTGCTTCCGGATCCACACCACCTGAGGCCTTGGCAACCAGCCCCGCCCTCCCCAGGGCCAGACGGGGCTGCCAGACCCTGGGGACAGGGGCCGAGGCCCCAGCTGGCTTCTGTACTGCTGGCTCCTTCTTTCGCAAGATCTTATTTTTACCTTTTCTCAACATACCAGACAAGCAACCTGGAACAGGTGGGCACTCAGTGCCCTTTGATTTGGTGGATAGAAGGGGACAGAGAGCCAGAGGAAGAAGAGAGCACAGGCAGAGGGCTGGGGTCAGGAGCTTGGCCAGGGTCCACTCCCTTCTCTGGGCAGCTGGGGTGATGCGGCTGGCCTCACACTACATCTTTCATTCTTAAAAATAACCCTTGCAAGGTGTCGGGTCTGTGGTGGTGACCTAGAACAAAGCAGCCCGAGCAGGAAAGAAACATCAATCAGGCGCAAGACAGAAACGACCGTCAATCAGCGGGATCTCCTGACTAACACCTGTCAATCAGCAGGACCCCCTGGCCAATCCTGGAGTTCAGCCAGCTCCCCTGACCAGCTCCAGCAGGACAAGAGACTCTAAAAACACCTTTTCTGGTCCCAAGCCCTTCCCTTCCTGCTGTAAGCCCCATAAAAGTCCAGTCCGGGGCCCGGGGATGTGGCTCAAGCGGTAGCGCGCTCGCCTGGCATGCGTGCGGCCCGGGTTCCATCCTCAGCACCACATACAAACCAAGATGCTGTGTCCGCCGAAAACTAAAAAAAAAAAAAAAGTCCAGTCCAGTCAGGCTTCCACTCGGTTTCTCCTCAGACCCTTCTCCTGTCCAGTCTGTGGGTCTGATCGAGTTCCACCTGGGAGTGATATCTCAATAGAGCCTCCTTTGGCGGCCTTTTTAAACCTGCCTCCTTCGGTCGCTGCCCGCCTGCCTGCCTGCCTGGCCTGATCTTACACAAGGAAGTGGTTATGCTCTCAGATGAGGTCTTTCCCTAGGGCACCGCCCCTGACCTTCACACCTATGACCCTCCCCAGCAGAAGTAGCCCTCACTCCTCCCTGCTTTCCTTGAACACTGGGGACCAGAGGCAGGACTAAAAACCAGGTGGACACTAGTTCTTGTTCTTGTGGTTCTTAATGTTTAGCAGGAAAGAAGAAAAAAATTAAACCGGGTTTGGTATTGTATATCTGTAATCCTGAGAGACTGGGGGGACTGAAGCAGGAAGATCACAAGTTCGAGGCCAGCCTCAGCAATTTAAGGAGACCCTGTCTCAAAAATTAAAAGGGTTGGAGATGTAGCTCCATGATAAAGCAGTCCTAGGTTTAATCCCTGGTACCGTTCATGCTTGGGCATGTTCCCTGACCCTTCTATACCTACTTCCTCATCTGTAAGATGAGTGCATTAACAGGTCCACCTCTGTGGGTTACCAGGATTCACAGAAGCATTCTCAACATGAGGGCGGGTACTAAATGGCTGTGTGGGGTCACTTCCCACTTGCAGCTTCTGTGGGCTCCTGTGCAGGCTCATCCAACCCTCGAGGCACTTCCTGAGGTCAGCACGCTGTCTGCGGCGTTTGCTGGAAGGCTTGGACTACGCCAGCACCGCACAGTCCTTGTCGGTGGCCACCAGGACATTTCCCTCCCGACTTCCGAATTACTCTTCATGCACAGGGGTGAGAGAGTCCTGGAGAAGGCCGGCTGCCCGGGAACACTCTGCCCAGAGGCTCATTTCTTTAGGGGACATCCCCAGACTCAGCCCACAGGTGACTGGATCCATCTGGTCTCTGCTAGCAACTAACCCTAACCCTAGCAAAGTCCCCACTTGCTCTGCTTTGGGAGACCACCCCACCCACTCCTTCAGGAGCCCTGCAGAGGGGCCTCCAGACTTCCTGCTGAGAGGACCCTGGCCCAGGCAGGCTTGGCCTGGTCTTCCTGTTTCTGTGCTTCAAGCCTGTGGTGTCTGAGCACAAGAAAGTGGAGGCCAGGGAACGGAGTGGACACGGAGGACAGTGCTGGGGCAAGTCCAAGGGTAGAGCAGGAGGGCAGACCCCAGGCTGCAGCCTTGCGCACGCAACACGCGGCCCCTCCCAGCCGCCTGCGGTGGGAAGAGCTGAGCAGTCCTTGCAACGGACACCTGAGGACCAGCAAAGCCCCAAATAAGGACTGTCTGCCCCTTTACAGAGAGTCTGCCAGCGCCGGGGTCAGAGGATTGCTGGGGGCTTCCAAAGTCAGCTGCCAGGAAGCAGGAAAGAAAGAACACAGGGAGGCTGGACCCTGGCCAGAGAAGTCCCAGGCGGGGTGGGGCTCAGAGGTGGACTCCATCAGCACCGTGGAGGCCGTCTCAATGACAAAGCAAGAGGGTGGACACCTTGGCTTCAGTCCACCACAGCCAGCTGTGGGCCCTCACACCCTCTTTATGTGTCAACTCATAAGCTTCCTGGGCTGTTGACCTCCGCTGATGACCTCCACTGATCCAGGAGCATAGACGCCCCTCCTCTCTCAGAGCCCCGCCCACTTTTGCCCGGCCCTCCCACCACCTTGAAGAGTGCCTCCACTCAGGTCTGGGGACCTTTTCCACCCACCATGTAGAGGGATGCTGGCAGCCGCTGGAACCTGCCCCAGGACCTGCGCCTTGTCTGCCTAGCACCTGTAATTACTCAATAAACCCTTTGATGTCAGAGATCCCTCGGTCTCTAGAGGTTTGGTGTAACACATGATCTGCCTAAAGAGGGCACGACTGGCCAGGGTTCTCATCTCTAAGATGCACATGGAAATCCAGACATTTCCATGAGCAAGAGGGCGGGGTGGGGGGGATAAGCAGGAGGACTCAGTGGCTGCCTTCAGTCCCAGCCCAGCCCCTTCCTCAATTATGTGTGACCCCCCCCCTCTCTTTTTTTTTTTTTTGGTACTGGGGAGTGAATCCAGGGGCACTTAGCCACTGAGCCACATGCCCAGCCCTTTGTGGTATTTTATTTAGAGACAGGGTCTCGCTGAGTTACTGCGGGCCTCGCTGAATTGCTGAGGCTGGCTTTTAACTCACAATCCTCTGACGGCCTCCCGAGCCACCACACCCAGCGTGACCTCCCTTATCTGTGAATCAGGGGTGATACTCCAGATCGTTCTGTGAGGTGGCGATTATTTAACAAAGCCGCATCCCAGGGCCCCCAGAGCAATGCCAGGAGCAGGGTAAGTGCCCTTTTCTAGGTTGATCTCTTGGGGTTTTTTTTTTTTTTTTGTGTGTGTGTGTGTGTGGTGCTGGGTGGGGATTGAACCCAGGGCCTTGTGCCTGCCAGGAAGCTCTCCACCAACTGATGCAGTTAAAAACATGATGGTGACAACAACTGATGGACCAAAGAAAATACACGGGCCAGGTGTGGTAATCCCAGCAGCTCAGGAGGCTGAGGAGGAGGCCCACAAGTTCGAGGCCAATATCAGCAACTTAGCGATGAGGCCCTAAGCAACTTAAGGAGATCCTGCCTCAAAGAGCATAAAGGGCTGGGGACGTGGCTCAACAGTGAGGCGCCTGGTTTCAATCCCCAGTCCAGAAGGAAAAGAAAATGCATGGATGTTCTGTTGGGGGTCTGGGTGTGCTTCCCCAGCAGAGTGGTTAAGGGCATGAACTTGGGAAACAAGCCCAGCTGGTGACCTTGGGGACCTCGGCGCACACAGCGGTGGTAGTGGGCTTTGGCCAGCGTCCAGGCATTGCAGGGTAGGGCCGGGAGGACGGCCGCTTCCTTGGCCTCTCCTGCTGCAGGTGGGGGTCGCAGGGCGGAGGCTTGAGCTTGGATTCTGTGGTCAACTGCCACCCTCCCCTCCCCCACCACGTGCACCCGGACCCTGGTGGCTCCCACAGGGACTCCGCCAGGCGCCACCAGAGGCTGATTCTTTCTCTTGCTCCTCTGCTGGGCTGGCCACTGTCCTCTCTCCAAGGCCGTCTTCCCTGGCCCTCGCAGCCTGGGCTTTGGTCAGTCCCTCTGTGTCTGTGTCCCCTTCGCTCTCGGTGTCTCTCTTGCTCTCCAGCTCTGCTCACTCTGCTTATGTGTCCCCCAGGGGAGAGTGGGGCACCTCCTCCAAGAGCCCCCTTCCGAGGTCCCTGCTGGGCGGAGCCCTTTGCTGCATCCCCCACTTCCTGTGGCCCCTTCCAGGACCCCATCAGCCACAATGTACCCCTGGGCTTTGGCCTGCCTGAGTGCAGAGCCCCTAGACCCAGAGTCACCTGCGCTGGGGGTGGGGAGGGCAGGCCTCTGGGCTGGAGCCTCTGGGTGGGGGTTCAAGTCTCCCCAGCCGTGGACGGTGGGCCTCGGGCAGAGCAAGGGGCACAGAATGCGGCGTCTGTGTTCAGAAACGAGAAGGCCCAGCAACAGGCAGCTTCTCCCTCCACACCAATGACAGGCGCCATCGGCATCTCGGTGCCTTGGCCCCATGGATCCCCTGAGGCGATCCTTCTCCCCGTGCTCGTCGCGACCCTCGAGCCCCAGGACCCCGCCCTGCGAGGCCTCTGACTCTGTGGGCATCGAGGCTGTGCTGGACCAACTGAAGATCAAGGCCATGAAGATGGGGTTTGAGTTCAACATCATGGTGGTGGGTGAGTGAGGGGCTCACAGACAGCAGGACTGAGGGACAAGGACAAGGCCTGTGGACCTGGGAGTGTCGCCTCATCCCTCAGTCTCAGGGTCCCCGTTCGGCAGGGAGCCTGGCCATGGCACCTCATGGGAGTGCTACAGTGGAAAATCTGGGAACCTGTTATTACAGACAAAAATCACCCACCAAGAGGCAAGGAGGGACTGCGGGGAGGGTCAGACTCCTGGACTTGGGACCCCAGTGCAATCTTGATTCGATGTCATGGATGCTGATGTGGCTGGGTTTCATTTGTAAAAACTGGGTGAAATGCCCATCAGTGGGTGGCTGAGCAAGCAAAACTTGGCTTATTCATACAGTGGAATATTATTCAGTCATGAAAAAGAATGAAGCATGGACATGGGCTACAGTAGGACTGAACATTATTCTAAGGAAAAGCAAATACAAGAAAGAGCTGGGGATGTGGCTCAGCGGCGGTTGAGTGCCCCCGAGTTCAATCCCTGGTACCAAAAAAAAGCAAGATATTGTTTCATCTTGAGACAGAGTCTCACTGAGTTGCCGGAGGCTGGCCTTGAACTGGAGTCCTCTGCCTCTGCCTCTTGAGTACTGCCACTTCACGGTGCACTTGAAAACGATAACGGTTATTTTTGCCACGTCAATTTTACCTCAATAAGCAAAGGGGAGGAAAATGTTGAGCTGGACGCTTGTGACCGTGGGTACTTGCTGCGTTGACACTCTGCCCAGAAAACAGTCTGCTTTCTGAAACATCTCACGGGGTCACCAGCGGGAGAGGCTGCCTGAGGGGGGCCGGCCCCTGACTGCTGTCCTCTGGTCGCTCCCAGGG